TACACGATGAAGTCTTTACTTTAGTAAATGCTTTCTAGTTACAACTGAAAATACCCCAAATAGAAATCAAATTATGAGATGCAACAACATATCATTGCCCTATTTATAAATTATTTTTGAATTTGAAATTGAATTAATTAACTAAAATCACATGATCAAATTTCATGTCATGTTTGATGTATGTCATACTTACAGATTACTCTTAATGCTTTTTTTTGGTCTTTAAAGTGACAGTGTGTATTTTTCCTGGCGATAGGGGGCAGTAGATACCTAAATCAGTATTTTTGTGTTGCAGTAAGACCTTACCAACGGATGCCCATTAGGATCAAAAAGCCGGGGACTGCAAACTTAAGCAAAAATAACAAGCACATCAGACTCCCTTTAATCACTTACAACTATAGCAAAGGGGTAAATATATGAAATAATGTTTATGAATGTAGAAAGTTTTGTAACCATTGGTTACAAATCAGCAAATGCATTTTGATCTCATGGGCTCCTGTAGAAGGAAACATGGCATCTAATATGGCGTCGCCCAGAGACTTAGACCCGCTCCCGTGTATTTTAGATCTGATTTCTTTGGTTATTTGTGACGAAACAGCCAATATTTCTTAACAACTGGGCATCATTTAATTAATATTTAACAACATTTCGATGGATATTCCAGAGATTAACGATAAAAACTACACATCATTGTCTCGTTCAACTTTATTTTAACACATCATAATTGAATGTAATTCATATTATTCCTCCCTTGTGGTATCAAATTCAACATTTTAAACAGTCTGTTTTTAAACGTCTGTTCATCTGACACCATAGTAGTTTTACAGTTTATTTGTACTCAATCCAGAACTTCATTCTGGGGTTTCTTGATGAGGCTCACCTTTCTGTTTGAGTATTCCAGCCACAACATCAGTGCACATCTGTCCAGTTTCAGAGCTTTCACCTTCATTTGTGTCATCCATGACTGGTCTGTAGCTTAGTGGACTGACCACCCAGTTGGGACTAGAATTGACTCTGGGACCTGTAAACTTTAGATTGTTGATGTTTCTTTCTTTTTGTCTGAAGCCATCTCAGCTGTAAACAGGGTTGTTGCACAAACAAACCTGGATGGACATGTACTCACTGTTCTGTCTCTTCCTCCCTTTGGGTGGGGCAAACGGTTAAACCCACTCTCTATCATCACTAGCATAGTCCACACTTTTCTACTTCCCAATACAAGGTTAGAATATTTTACTCTTAAAATGAGAATGTTTATCAAAGAATCTCCAGCTAGTATGGAGAACAAGATTTTTATCGCATTCCTGTATTGTTCCTTGGGAAAAGCCGAAAATGCCCTGAGCTGTTTCCCGTGTTTGTCTTTATTTTCTTTTTTATACTTTTTGTACCTGTTGATATCCCGTTCTCCATGAGCAGACCTGTAGCACAGAATGGAGCGCCTTCCTGTTTCTGTTCTGCTCTGTGTGGAGCGTTGTTTTCACTCGCTGCCGTCACTTCCCTGTTTTGTAGACACATTTCTCAGTTGTGCGTCTTTTAGTTTGCGTAACAAAGTCTACGGCTGTCATTTCATCACGTTGACGTCTGAAGCAGCTTTATGTGAAGCCGCTGTGGCAGATCTGTAGAGGGTTTTATCCGTTTCATTACAGCAGCAGGAATCATGTCTCAGTGGTCTGCTCACTGGAGTAAACTAGGGGAGGAGGGGAGGGCTCTTTTAACATCCGTTTGCTCTGTAAATATACCGTAGTTCTGTTTGACAAAGCATTGAGCCTTTTGATAGAACATTTCTGAACTTTCATCTCTGTTGATGCAGAAAAAAGTGAATCTGAAGACCCGTGGTAAAGCTGCTGATGATGGAAGTGGGAAATATCTGTCAACTAGCAGTTAAGGAGAATGGAGACGTCCCACAGATTCATTCCAAAGAATTGCAATGCATCTTTGTTTTAGGAGCAATATTTCATCACAATAACTTTTTATTCGTGGTAACTCATCTATCCGCTCACTACCGTTTAATCTTTAAAAGTGCAGTATTTGTTTATTGGAAAAAGCCGTTCAAGCAGCCTATGTAAAAAAAACCAAAGGTCCGACCCCTTACTTCAGGCTCCTCCCCGGAGTCACAGAATCTGATGGTCGCAGAATACAGTACAACACCTGCTTGCGACACAGTCATCGAGGAACAGAACCAACTCCAAACCAAACCGAACCTCCGCCCACTCGCTTCTTGCCCCTCTATTTTGTACACTAGCATGTTTTATGGTGAGAAACAAGGTAGTTTTTAGCTTTTTTGGTTTATTCTTAACTTTCATCATTCCAACAGGAATGGAACCAGACTCAAAACCACAGGTGTCAAACTCCGGTCCTCAAGGGCAGCGATCCCACGTGTTTTGGTGTCAGCACACCTGATTTCAATCAGCAGGTGATTAACAGGCTTCTGGAGAGCTTGTTGAGCTACTGCACAGGTGAATCAACTGTGTTGGAACAGGGAAACATCAAAAACGCGCAGGATACCGGGGGCACCCCTGCTCTAAACAGAACATGTAAAACAACTCCTCAAATGACATTTCTAAACAGAATGGATTGTTCCATCTGTGACACCAGGCAGCTCCACTAGCTTCCTGTTTGGTTCTTCTGCTGAGAACGAGCGTCTCGTGTACAGAGGGTGTTTCTGCAGCGAGGTGAGGGATGTACAGAGGAGCAGTATGATGGATGGCTTATGAGCCAGTCAAATAGCTAGGGGGCCAGCACTGGATTGGATTACTTTTTTGGGATTTAGCATTTCAGAGGTGATTAAAATTTTCAATTTTTTGACAAAACATTTAATTTATTGGTTGCCATTGGCATATGAGGAGAAGCATGTTCCAGAAAAATAACTCTCAGGCTAGCTTTTCCCTAAATTGAACAAACAACCAAATGAAGGTCACTCCTAGATTTCCTCACAGGAAGGTTTTAAATTAAACCTAACCTGAAAGTTTAGATTTCAGGTCACAGGGCAGGGTCAGAACTTGAAGTAATGAGTAATTTTTTTTCTCTCCCAAAACCATTGAAGCATTTATTATCAGCACAAAGCCACACTATCTCAGCCTGGAGAAACACGGACACCCATCAGCAGTCTGCACAAGATGTTTCACACCCATTCTCATTGATTTGTAGGTTTAGAAATCAACTTGCAGCTTGATATTAGACAGGTGGAAAATACGAAATGCAAAGATGAAACGTCACCCATGTGACTGTAGATGTATTTCTCATCTGTAACTTATGCCGCTGCCATCAGAAATGGACATAATGTCATCATGAAGGGCATGAATCTTACATTATTGCTGACTAATAATTATTTAGAACTGTTATTTTACCAGGGTGGATTATACTACAAGCAACTGAAATGATTTGAAAATCAAGAATCGGGTGCACAAAATTGAATTTATTGTGGATTTTCTTCCTTCTACACATACAAAATTGTCCTGTGTCCATCATGGGCTGTAAGTCAAAGGTTTATCTGTTTACAGAAGACAAGGAAGAAAGAAAGTACACAGTAAATTCACCACAGAAGCTGCATGGTTTTTATACTCCAACGGTGGTTTAAAGATGTAGTTGACTAATAAAATATTTTTTTTATGATTATTTAATCGGCCACTGAGTTTTTCATGCAGGCTGAACATGAAAATAATCTCCTACACCTATTTCCTGCATTAGCTTCTGATAGAAAATACAGTGATCCCTCGTTTATCGCGGTAGATGCGTTCCAGACCTGGCCGCGATAGGTGAAAATCCGCGAAGTAGGGACACCATATTTACAGTACAGTACTATATTGAATTATCGTATGATCACATTCTCTTTTTGTGGGTAAAACTCAAGAAAAAAATTTTTACTTGGTTTTTTATAGTTTTATTACAAAAAGTGCATTTTATGATGAAATTGATGAAAAAAACAGGAATTTCTTGATATTTCGCATAGAAAAATACCACGAATCAGTGAAAAATACCGCAAATCGGCAAAATTCCCTTGAATAAGGCTCCAAAGAAAAAATCCACGAAGTCGTGAATCCACGATAAACGAACCGCGAAGTAGCGAGGGATCACTGTAGATGGTGAAATTCCAGTATTGGAAAATCGTCACAGATCTACGTCACACTTTTAATTAGCATTCATGGACTCACTGACTTTGACTCACAACAGGGAAGTCTATTGTTGTTTTAAAGCTCACAAACATTTCAGAAATATACATTTCAGTTTTTTTAAATGTTATCCATAATTTTATTTAAACATGCATTTTTTAGGTTATTCACCTGTGTTGCTGTGTTAAAAAAACTATGAAGATAAAAACTTTTTTAAAATAGTGAGCAGCAGAAACATATTCTGATTATTTGTTTACTCATTAATTGTAATATTTTTATTTTTATTTACAATTATGTCTTGAATAAACAAGATCAGTATATGGTTTGACTGAACATTAATATGATTTATTAACACTGGCTTATCCTGGGGGGCCAGCAATTTTCTAGGGGTGGCCATGGCCACCCCTGGCCACCCCTTGGGGGCACCCTTGGGGCAAGCAAAGCCTGGCGAGCCGCCAGGCTTATAAAGCGCTGGGGGAAACTCTGCTATAATAACAAATATAAATGAATGCAGACAAATAACAAGGTCACTTGTTAGGATTTATTTTAGCATTTAGAACATTTTCCCTAAGCCTAAACCCAACCATTCCTTCACATGAATTACTCCGTAAAACGTTTGCATTTTTAAAGCGCCGGTGCAACCGGAAACCGTAACCTAGAGCACGGTTGCCGCAAACAGACGATTCTAGCCCTGAACTGGCTCACTGCTCCGTCGGAGACATGGCCAAGATGGGTATGATCAGTCAGAGGATTTTACAAATGCAGCTAGCGGCTATGCAGACCATGAAAATGCTGATGATAGAAAACATCTTTATGGTAATGATCTTATAATGCGTCTGTCTCGTATTGTCAGGAATTTTAATGTGCATGCTTCTTTGTGTCTCTGATGCGCAGGGAGAAAAAAACAATGGCTTCGATGTGTTGTATCATAATATGAAGCATGGGCAAATTTCCACCAAGGAGCTGTCAGACTTCATTAGAGAAAGGTAAGACAGGCAGTTTTATTTGGTAGTAGATCTGTTACCCTGCATGGTTTATGACTGAAACAGTAGAACAGAGTCAAAGCTGCTTTCCTCTGTAAAGAGCACGTTCACAGAGAAAACGTTTTTTACTTGTTGCTTTTGAATATGATCGGTCTCTCTGAGATTCACATGCAGGCTAAATGTGAGAAGCCTGACAATTACACGTCACTGAAAATGAGCATTAATGGACTCATCAATCTCGGCACATGACCAAGAAAGGCTGTTGTTGATTTGGTGTCCAGGAAAAGCTAACCGTTAGCATTAGCAACTCTTTCAGGTTTACGTCATTTGTGGAGGTAAAATATCAACTTTGAAGAGCAAAGTCAGTAGTAGAGTTGTGTTGCTGTTAGCCAATCAGAGGTGAGATGTCCAAAATCGGGAAATAATATTGAGTAAGTCTCCAAATCCTGCTGTCTTCCGCTCCCCTCTCCTCTGGCTTACTTCTAGTTCCTGAAACAGGAGCGCCAGAGGTTCTTCCCCACAGAGAAGGACGCACAAGGCATTCATTTAGGGACCACAGCTCAAGTGAACTTGGTCTTAAACACCTGGACGTGCTGTTTGTCTGTGTTAACACTTGAGTGGAATTCACCCCTCATGCATGCACCTGGGTTTGTCCAGCATGTCTGTGGTTTGTTTAGATTCTTCTGCCTTAACTGCAGTCGGTCCTGTTCGACACCTGTAGTTTCAGTTTCAGGTATCGTTTTTTTAAAAACACAAACTCCTAGCTGAGCGTGCCAGAAACCACTTAGAACTGGCCAGTTTTCCACAGGTGCACATGTTGAGCCATACGGGATATTATTTTTTATGTAACAAGATTTTTGCTCAAAAGGCCTCAAGTTGTTTTCATCATTGATAAAATATCTGGTTTTTAACCCTCTGGAGGCAGGTGTGGCAGATTTGCAACGTTAAAACCTACCTACCTGGTTACTCCACATACGTATTTCATGAGCATTTTTAAACTCAGAAGTACCCCTGAAGGACTTAGTTGTTCGTCCTTTTATCAAAACTTATTTTGAGCCCGAGCGGGTTAAACACACAACAAAAAAGACTGATCCAGGGGCCTGATTTTCTCTTAAAAAGGGAACTGGCCGGGAAATACAGCCTTGTTAGTGCAGGTATACATTAGTGTTAGCACACAAACTTAACCTCTTTGTCAGACGGGCTTAACAGTAAGCCCTACTGAAACCTGCATTTTGCTGCTCAGTGCTCACCATCATGTGTCTGCAGCTCAAAAATACCGTAATGACAGCTTCTGTTTGAATCCTTCTCACCTTCTTAGAGATTACCTCCACTGTGGGAAAGATGTGTGTTTATAACCTGCCACATGATATATGGTCTACCGCTGGAATTCAGCTGAGGAGACATCGGTCCGTCTGCCTTTGATGAACGCGCTCAGTCACCTAGACCCGTTCTGCTTTCATAAAAACTCCTTAAACAACACTGATCAGGAGTTGAGACTATGTTTTTAAAACCTTTTTATGTGCACTTCTTGGTATTATTCCATAGAAAAATGTTCATAGTACTTTACATAGAACTACTTTAATGTAATGTGCAGTTATTTATATTGCTCTCTAGTGCTTGGTTCAGTGAGGGCAAATCAGAGTTATGCAAACCCCATCTTTATCTATTAATCAGACATTGATTATTTTCCTCACAAATTTCTTTATTTCTTCTGAACTTAATGCTTTATTATTCCAAACTGTAAAATAAGAACAAAATATCTTTTTTGTGGAAATAAAAAATGATCTTTATGAAGATAAAATGTTTTTTGAAGACATTTTTAAGTTGCAGTCCTAATAGCTTTTTCCTGTAAAAATTGCCTTGTGGCTCCCTCTTGTGGCCTAAAAAGACCATTGCACTATCTAACAGTTTTGCTTTTCTGTCAGTAAAACCCTTTTCCCTAAAAACACGAGACAAAAACTGCTTTCCCCAAATATTTATAAAAATAGGTAAATAACTAATTAATAAATGAATTAAAAACACATGCATTGTTTTGTTCTCAGGTTTTTCCTTTATCCTGAGTAAACATGGCCGACATGATCTGCCAAGAGACCACATTATTCGTTAAATCCTAATCAATCAATCAGATTTATTTATATATATAGCGCCTACCACCACCATATCGGAGGCCCAAGGTGCTGAGCAGGACATAACAACAAGGATAAAAACGGCATAGTAGATAAAAGAGAGAAAATTTGATTTAAAAAAATTAATAAATAGAAAAGTCAAAGTAATTAAAAACCCTACAGTACAAAAGGTAAAAATACAAAAGCCAGGGTCAGCGATGTTGGAGGAAATCATCTGATTGATTGGTTGACAATAGTCATGTTTTATGTTGGATCAGCACAGTAAATTACTCGTCGTCTTCGTCGTCTTCCTCCGCTTATCCGGGTCCGGGTCGCGGGGGCAGCATCCCAACTAGGGAGCTCCAGATCGTCCTCTCACCGGCCAGCTCCTCTGGCAGGACCCCAAGGCGTTCCCGGACCAGATTGGAGATGTAACCTCTCCAACGTGTCCTAGGTCAAACCTGGGGCCTCCATGCGGCAGGACATGCTCGAAACACCTCCCCAGGGAGGCCTCCAGGAGGCATCCTAACCAGATGCCCAAACCACCTCAACTGACTCCTTTCGATCTGGAGGAGCAGCGGTTCTACTCCGAGTCCCTCCCGAATGTCCGAGCTCCTCATCCTATCTCTAAGGCTGAGCCCGGCCACCCTACGGAGAAAACCCATTTCGGTCGCTTATGTCGACAAAGGGCAGCCCTGGCGGAGTCCAACCGCGATCTCGTTCTTTCTGTCATTACCCAAAGCTCATGACCATAGGTGAGGCTTGGGACGTAGATCGACCGGTAAATCGAGAGCCTGCTTTCTGTCTCAGCTCCCTCTTCACCACGACAGATCGGCTCAGTGTCCGCATCACTGCAGACGCCGAACCAATCCGCCTGTCGATCTCCCGATCCCTCCTACCCTCACTAGTGAACAAGACCCAAAGATACCTAAACTCCTCCACTTGAGGTAGGACCTCTCTCCCGACCCGGAGTTGGCAAGCCACCCTTTTCCGGTCGAGAACCATGGTCTCAGGTTTGGAGGAGCTGATCCTCATCCCAGCCGCTTCACACTCGGCCGCGAACCTACCCAGCAAGAGCTGAAGATCAGAGCTGGATGAAGCTAGGAGGACCACATCATCCGCAAAAAAGCAGAGACGAGATTCTCCTGCCACCAAACTCGACACACTCCACACCACGGCTGTGCCTAGAAATTCTGTCCATAAAGATTTTGAACAGAACCGGTGACAAAGGGCAGCCCTGGTGGAGTCCAACCCTCACCGGGAACAGGTCCGACTTACTACCAGCTATGCGGACCAAACTCACGCTCCTCTGGTAAAGGGACTGAATGGCTCTTAACAGAAAGCCACCCACCCCATACTCCTGGAGCGTCCCCCACAGGGTGCCCCTGGGGACACGGTCATAAGCCTTCTCCAAATCCACAAAACATATGTGGATTGGTTGGGCAAACTCCCATGCCCACTCCATCACCCTTGCAAGGGTATAGAGCTGGTCCACAGTTCCACGGCCAGGATGAAAAACACCTTGCTCCTCCTCAATCTGAGATTCAACTATCGATCGGACCCTCCTCTCCAGTACCTTGGAGTAGACCTTTCCAGGGAGGCTGAGGAATGTGATCCCCCTATAGTTGGAGCACACCCTCAGGTCACCCTTCTTAAAGATGGGGACCACCACTCCGGTCTGCTACTCCACAGGTACTGCCCCCGATGACCACGCAATGTTGCAGAGACGTGTCAACCACAACAGCCCTACAACATCCATAGCCTTGAGATACCCAGGACGAATCTCATCCACCCCCGGGGCTCCGCCGCTGTGTAGTTGTTTGACTACCTCAGCAACTTCTGCCCCCGAGATTGGACAGTCCATCCCCAGGTCTGCCGGCTCTGGTTCCTCCTCAGAATGCGCATTGGTGGGATTGAGGAGCTCCTCAAAGTATTCCTTCCACCGTCCGACTATAGCCCCAGTTGACGTCAGCAGCTCGCCATCCCCACTGTAGACAGTGTGAGCGAGTTGCTGCCTCCCTCGCCTGAGGCGCCGGACAGTTTGCCAGAACCTCTTTGGAGCCGATCGATAGTCTTTCTCATTGGCCTCACCAAACTCCTCCCACGTACAAGATTTTGCCTCGGCAACTGCCACTGCTGCACCCCGCTTGGCTATCCGGTACCTGTCTGCTGCCTCCGGAGTCCCACAGACCAGCCACACCCTGTAGGGGTCCTTCTTCAGCCTGACGGCTCCCCGAACCTCTGGTGTCCACCAGCGGGTACGGGGGTTGCCACCACGACTGGCACCGGCCACCTTGCGACCACAGCTAGCAACAGCCGCCTCAACAATCGCAGAGTGGAACAAGGCCCACTCGGAGTCAATGTCCCCCACTGCTCTCGGGACGCGGTCAAAGCTCTGCCGGAGGTGGGAGTTGAAGACCGTCTTAACAGGTTCTTCTGCCAGGCGTTCCCAGCAAACCCTCACTATGCATTTGGGTCTGCCAGGTCTACACGGCATCTTCCCCTGCCATCTGATCCAACTCACCACCAGGTGGTGATCAGTTGACAGCTCCGTTCCTCTCTTCACTCGGGTGTCCAAAACATACGGCCGCAGGTCAGATGATACGACTACAAAGTCTATCATCGACCTGCGACCTAGGCTGCCCTGGTACCATGTGTACCGATGGGCATCCTTTTGTTCGAACATGGTGTTCGTTATGGCCAAACTGCGGCTTGCACAGAAGTCCAATAACGAAACACCACTCGACACACAGTAAATTACTAATGCGTAAAATCAATGATCATGAATAATAAGAGCAACTAGCCAGTATTAAGTTTTAAACATTTAAAACAATGACTTTAGCTTAGAAAAGTAATTGTCATTAGGAATGTCCCGATACAACTTTTTCATTTCCGATACCACACCGATATCGCAGCCTTCGGTATTGAACGATACCGATACAAATCCGATAAGATATCAGCACAAATCATACATACTTTTACTTATTTCATAGTGTGTAATGTATAAAAGTCTTGATCAAGTGATATCACTCAAACAGAAAACAAAAGCCAGCAACAGTAAGTATAAAAAACTCACCAGTTTTTTAGTAACCTTTGGTTGAATAAATGTGAACGGCTGAGGTTAGGGACATAAGGAAAAAACACAATATTGTTCACTGACCAGCTGCTACAAGTTCAGTGTCTAAAGTTTCAATTTCACACACGCATTTGTGATCCTGCTTCAAATGAGGTTGGACGTATTAATCTTCCCCGGTTTGAGTCTTTTTCAGACTTTAACAAAAACCACAGCCACACGGCCAACATTGTTCCTTGCTACTTTGCTAGCACACACTGTTTTGATCACGTGGACGTTGATGCTGGATCTGGGCGCTGATGGACAGAGTTGCTGGAATGGAATTTAAAGCAGAACATACTGCTAATATTGGAGAATTTTGATGCAGTTCGATATAATCCGATACAGTGTTTTGGGGCCGATATCAATATCTGGACATCCCTAATTGTCATGGATTTGCTCCACTTTCCACCAGAAACTCAGACTTTTGGTTTTTGTGCAATCCTGCTAACAGAGAATTTAACAAAAATCAGCAGTTAAAACCTTTGCCTCTGTTCATGCTAAAGAGAGAAAATGTTCCAGTGTCCTTGTCAGAAAACATCTGACTGGGGTGATGATCTTTACTCTTATTTATGCTCTTTTGGGGATTTTTACTTTAGTTCTCCTCCACAACAAGATCAACACAATAAAGTCTTAAATAAAACATTCTACTGATCTTGGAGGAGGTTAAAGATGGATAGGTGTGTGGTTGAATGACCACGGTTGACCTGTTTCCCCCGTCTGACCTTGTTCCTGTGATGTGACTGCAGAGACAGGATGGCTGAAAGAAACATGCATCATTCAAACTTTAACTCGCAGAGTCAGCCTGTCACTATGGTGAAGAATAAAAAGGGACATTAAGGGACACTATGGAGTCAAACATTGCTTCCTCTTCTCTCTAGGAGTACCATAGAAGAGTCCTACGCTCGGTCGATGACCAAACTTGCCAAATCAGCTGGAAACTTCTCTCAGCTTGGGTGAGTTTGAACCTTTTCAACCCTTTAGAAGAAAACAGCCGTAACAACGAGAGTATTAACATTTTCATGCCACCCTTGCTCTCAGGACATTTGCTCCAATGTGGGACATATTCAAGAGTTCAACAGAGAAGCTTGCTGGTTGTCACTTAGAGCTGGTGAAGAAACTACAAGAACTTATAAAAGAAGTACAGAAGTATGTGGAAGAGCAGGCCAAAGCACACAAGAAGGTAAGGACGTGCACATCTGTTTAAATACCTTTGTATTTAAAGGGACTCTAAGGAAGTTTGACAGCCAAAACATGTATAGAAATAATACATTTCTTCTTCATACATTCTCCTGCAATGCCCTGGTCCTGTAGAATGAGCCCTGGCATTTTTACTGTGATTGCCTGTTTTTCTGTAAAATCACAGAAAAAGAGAGATGCTCGGGTCGAGCAGGCTGCTTCATGCTCAGGCATCGCCCGTAGCATTTGCAATCTGTAGATTTAGCAGCAGAGAGAGAGGCAGTGGCAACTCAGCGACTTTGTCGCTGTTCCTAACGTCTAGTGATAAACCTAGCTACATTTCTGAGGACCCTTAGCTACTTTCTGTAGAACTTTCTTCTAGATATTTCCTGTAAATTAGCAACAAAATAGCCATTTTCGCTCCGAACCGTTCTTTGGTTTGACGTTGTTTCAGCTGTCATCAAGGATATAAATTTTACAGATACTGTGAATGTTACTAGAGTGTAGCTCACCTTGTAAGATCTCTGACTCTCATGCAGAAGTCCTGGGTTCGATTCTGGATGTGAACATAGTTTATTTAGAGTTTCTTTTTTACATTAATGGTATTTTTTTTACAGTAAGATGCCCAAATTTTTATTTGAGACTCGCCAAACGGCATTGAATTCACAGATAAAAAAGATGTGGGTTCAACTTTCATTTTGGAACAATTTTTCAAGCAAGGGAAGGGAATGATCTGAGCATGCAGGAGGACTGACCCATCTTAAACCTTTGTCGGCTGTGCTGAAGAGAAAGGTACAGAACCAAAATATTTAATTAATTAGCTGCACGTTCTCCTGTCCTCTGTCCTCCGGGCCACACACACACACACACACACACACACACACACACACACACACACACACACACACACACACACACACACACACACACACACACACACACACACACACACACACACACACACACACACACACACACACACACACACACACACACACACACACACGGGGGACTGTCTCAGCTGTTTTTTCGTTAAGGAGTGTGCACGTACAGCATGCGTGCCTCGTGCACTAGCCTACTATTGAAGCTGCCGTTACGCTTTTGGCCTGAAGGGGCAATCGCGAGCATAAAAATTCAAAAGTCCGTCAAGTCCCTTTAAGTTAAAGCAGGAAATCCAGTTCCAGACTAATTATTTTCTATGAGTAGGGTCTATACTAACATAAATCTGTCTTCAACATGCATCAGTAATGCATGCTTTTATTTTAGAGGTTGTGACCTTGTTTTTGCACTTTGTGGTTGACTTGGTAAACAGCTTTGTGTTGTTGAGTTTGTCGGAGCACAGCACACTCAGTACACCGTGTTTCTGGCTTTGCAATAAGACCGCTGCAGAGCCCTTTCCTGGCATTCTGTTAAAATGTAAACACAAAGTTTATGGGAATGAGTTTGACCTTTGATCACTGACCAACTGCACACTCGTAGATGACGGCCTGTTCACAAACCTTGTTGTTATAACAAGAACTTCACATAGATCTTCTGTCTCTTTCACCACTGACATCAGCCGGTTCTGAAACATCATTGTAAATTAGATGCCACCAGCATGTGCATGCGGGTCAATTTAGTGTTCTGGTCACCAGTTTAGTCTCATTTTTTTACCCGATAACTTAAAGGTCTCATTCACTGTTTTTTAATAAATCTGCTGTGGTCTCTACTGTGAATGATGCCATGTTGGTCGTTTGGGGAAAATGCTCTGGTGCTCCTGTTTCAGGAGGTTGAAGTATGTCAGAGGAGTCGGGGGGCAGAGAACGGCCGGGTCTAATAATATTCATTAAAAACAAATGTCTAGTCTCTGATTGGCTAATAGCAACATGACCCTTCCACTGCTTTCGTTAACAAAAGTCAGAACACTGTAAAAATGCAACATTAATGTTTTATCTTCACAAATAAAGTCTGGACGTGTTAGAGTTGCTAATGCTAATGGTTAGCTTCTATTCGCCTAAACACACTCTGCTCTCTCCTGGCCACAAAAGGAATACAGCCTCCCAAGGTCACAGGCCAGGGTGGGCGTGCCCTTCCTAAATGGATACTAAAATTCCCTGTAACGTAGAAGAAACTGGCTTTTTCTGACGGGATGGTTTTCCAGTCTATTTCCTTTCTGCAAGTGATGGGAGAGTTTCACGTTCAGCAAGAGTTTACAATTCAGAGTGACTTCTTCTTCCTCCCTCCCCCTTATTTTTCACTTAGAAGACTGTTGATGATTGCATTTTGCATGAATGATGAATGAAACTGCTGAGTGAGAAAATAAAATTAACAATTAACTGATTGTATTTCAAAAAGAACAAGAGCGTGAAAACCTGCCTGTTTCATTCAAATCAGCATGGTCCTAGTGATCCCTGCCAATGAGCAAGGCAGCAGGAGGTGGTTGTACTCTGAAACAGACTTTACATAGAAGCGTTAAATATGATTGTTTAGTTGTGCAGTCCAAATGTTTTTTTTCTTGTTTTGTGATATCAGTTAGAGCCGTGTGCAGAACTATCTTTAAATCCCGCTTCCACTGACGTTTCTGTCCATCATCTCTCCAGCACTACCCTCCACCTGCAGGCCCATTCATTAATACGATCAATTAGGCCCATATGCACAGCTTGTTTTGTTTCTGGTAAACACTCTTTTCCATATATGGGATTCTTCATCCTTTTCTGCAGTTTTATCCTCTAGTCTTAACCCTTTGATGCATAATGGTCACTACAGTGGACAAGTACTCAAAATTGTTATTTATTTGTTTTTGCTATTAAGCACAGCTGTTGAAGACTTTATTGCATTTGAGCCCCTCCATTTGGACTTCAGTAAGCCAAGCAAACAAATTTCATGTTCAGATTGCACGCTGTCCACTGAGGTGGACATGTAATAAATTATTTGTAAATTATAAAGTTTTACAAAAAATATTTGTTGAAATTTGTTTCATTCACACCTAAAGACGAATGAAAAAAATTGTTAAAAAAATCATGGTTGAAGATTTCATGATTCATGCATCAAAGGGTTAATTTGATAACCAGTCCCAATCATCCGACTGACCATCTCGGGACCTGCAATCTATTTTTAGCCGCCCGCTCCCTCAGCACCTGTTGAATCCAGTCCCAAGGCAGCGCTCTAGTATCAGTTTATATTTTTTGTCTGAAGCTAGAGAACACAAAGCCAATTAGAAGCTCAACCATGCTGCCAAGGTTGTGTTTGTGCTCGTTATTGTGACTGTTTCTCTCTGAAACGTCCGCTCTCTCTGCTTTATTTCTCCTTTTGTAACCTGCTGCTGTGTGCTTTGTGTTTAGACATTCAAAGTTGTAAAAAACATTCAAATAAATAAAACGAGAGATGTCTGCATCTTACCATAATGGTGTCGTAGCCAAGAGGCCTTGAAGGTAACTGTTCGCCGATGTTAAATGGCCTGTGTGGACCTCGCTCTGGTATCAGTGACTTTTACAAACAATTAACAAAGATGTTTCAGGACAAGTGTTGTCACACTTCGGGGGGTGGGGGGAGAGTTGCACTAATTGTTTGGTTATCTTTCAGACGAAAGAGGAAGTAGCACCAACCCTGGAAGCCGTCCAGAACATACAGTCCATCTCCCAGGCACTCCAGAAGTCTAAGGAGATCTACAATGCCAAAACGGTGGAGCAGGAGCGCCTCCGCAAAGAGGGGGCCACCCAGAGAGATGTGGACAAGGTGGGAGGTCACACGCTTATGCAAACACTTGAGCTCATAAGGCATGATTGAAGTGTGTCACACAGAAACTTTAAGCCTGCCCTGATTTTTCTGTTGATGCAGAAAGATGTGCAGCCTTTGAAAGTCATTTATCCGTTTGTTCACAGGCTGGAGTGAAAGCCAAAAAAGCCACGGAGACCTACAAGTCCTACGTGGAGAAATACGCCACAGCCAAGTCTGAGTTTGAACAGAAGATGGCAGAAACTGCGCAGGTATTAGACATCTTAGCTGGTGTTTTGTTCTCTCACAAGCTCTGCGTATTGTCTGCCCTTTGTAGCGCACAACACTTCATTGTGCAATCGTCCGCTGCACGCCTGTTCCATGTTTTGTGGCCTGCATCGTCTCCAGATTGTGTTTTTTCCTCCATAATGAGATCATTGTGGAAAATAAAGCACTGATTGGATCCATGTGAAGGGCTGATTAGATAAACTCTAAATTAAAATCAGATCGGAAGGATTTGGTCTCTACATCCTCCTGTAGCCGCAGCAGCTCCGTCACTGAAGCTGGTTCCAGTTAAAACCTGGAGATTCTTGCGGTGCAGCCCTGCTTCCCCTGGATCCCCGTGCACGGCTCATCTCCCACCACACATGTGGGCGTATATTATAAACACAGAACACATGTGCTGTCTGACATCACTGCAGCTCCTACATGTGTGTTTTCTTTGTCAGTGTGTGTGTGTTTTCTAACCGGTAGAAGGCAGAAGTATGTGGCTGATTTTCTCTAATCTCACGCTATGATTTTTCCACTTTACGTGTATTTAAAATTTTTCTTTTATCGTCCCAAAAGCCTTGTGCACTTCAGCTTACATCCAGAATATCAATACCAGCGTGATTTGGCCTCAGACCACCCAAACAGTCATGCATGAAGTCACAGTGTAAAGAAGACGATGATCCCTTGGCTTCATTTAGCTTCTTATTTTTGTTTTCTTGTCAGTTTTATGAGACAGAAATCATGATTTGAATTTGTCAGCAGGCAGTTAATTTGGTTATGAGTGCCTGCTGTGTTGCTTCACCTCACTGAAACCACAAGTATCATAAATCTGTTACAGAAATTCCAAGACATAGAAGAAAACCACGTCCTCCAAATGAAAGAGATCATTCGGTCGTACTCGCAGTCGGTGGAGGAAACGCACATTCAGATAGGGGAGGTGAGTGCACGTGTCCTCTCAGACACACCTGCATGTAGAATCACTGAAAAACAGGAAGTGATATGTCCATCTCTTTTGCTTAGCTGCTAAAACTGATTAATACCTCTGAGTGAGTAATAAGCCCTTTTTATAAGACACACCATGACGGCAAATCAGCGTAATATTACCGCAATGGTATGTCTATAAAGCATCGACATATAAATATTGGACAATGGGTTTCCATAGGCTCCAATAACGTTTTTGAGGAGAAATGGGAGGTGGCCACCACCGCCATTTTGACCGTGTCACAGGTTCCGTCAAGCCCAGACAATTCCACAAAAGGGAAGAGAGGAGGAGCTGAGAGTGGGGTTGTAAGGCTGGGATCAACTGACGACACCCGGTTGAACTAGCTACAAGCTAACTTGAAGCTAACCCACAGCTAACGCGGAGGTGGGAGCCGTGGCAAATCCCGTTTTGCAAACGCTATGGTCCTGTAAAAACAGCTCTAGAGGCACATTCTGACCTCTTAACTATGGTCATAGTTTTTGAAAAAGTGTATTTAGGTTTGAGAAAACTGCATCTAGTTGTAAAATCTTAAAAGTAGCATTCAAATACTACACTAGTCATTATTCAGCTTGTGTGTATTCATCCATATGTAGCAGCAATGCTGCTCTATTTGTCTCACTACCTGCAGAGGGCGGCATTGTTTCATCAAAGGAAAAGGAAAACCCCGTCTAGCTTCCCTTTGGTAGCAAACTGTGAAAAATGTTGGGCATCAGTCGTGCTGCTCCTCCCTCTGAGCTGTAGATGCTGTATGTTGCTCGACCACATTCAACTCTGACTGAAGACGGGTGGTTAGTCTGCAGACCGGAGGGTCTTTATCTGTTGATGAAATAATCATTTAATGGCAGATAGGAAGTTGGGAGTGTCATCTCAAAGAGTAGGCTGCAGGATGCAGAGAGCAGCTGCTCAACTGTATTAATGGACTCCGTGGTGTGCACTGTTGCACACACACACACACATAGGCACACACACACACACACACACACACACACACACACACACACACACACACACACACACACACACACACATACCTAAAATCATTAGGATATACTTGTACTTAAAATAAAATATTCAAATGCTTTGTAAGTTGCTTTTACACACGTGCACTTTGAAATCTAAGTAAATATAATTAAAATGATTGCATTTATTGTTGTATTGTAAATGTTCTTACAGTTTTAGATTTTTGAGTAGTGTTTAAATTTTATTTTTCAAGACAGTTTTTATTTGAACCAATGAATTACTAACTAACTCATATATCTTAACACTTGACCACCAATACCCACCCTCAGGCGGCCCTTTATGGGTCAGCATGCTGCTCACTGATTGGTTGCTGTTCTACAGTTGTCTCTTGGATCTCAATTTCAAAACTGAAGTACAGAAATTTACTTAAGATTTAACACTAGAGGAAATTAACCCTTCAGATTCTATGATCACAGGTTTTTGGTGGTTAAATGCAGTTTTGCTTAGTGGAAAGGGGGGGGAATGATAATGTTTATGGTTATCTGACAGAACTTAACAACTTGGCATAATGAACTGAACACAGCTGTTTACTTCGTGAAGTGCCTTCTTAATCTGTGAATTATTTAAAGGGGCCCTAGGAAACAAAACCAAGTTGTTGTTGAACATAGACAGCTTGGTGTATCTAATGTAACAAACTCCGACCTGCTTTCCTTTGTCAGTAATGTTGTAACGGCCATGCAGAAACGGTCCGATCTGAGAACATCTGGTTTAACTCATCATAAGCATAGACACACCCACATCACCACCCACTTCTGTGTTGGCAAAATAGAAATGTTGGTTGTGGTAATGCTAACTGCAAATGATGCTAGTCTGAGCTACTGCTAGCATCCCCGTTGGACAAGAGGGAAACGACAAAGAAAAATGTCGGAGCACACATGAAACATTCTAAGATGCACTTGGAATATCCACATTTTGAATGAATGCCAGATAGGTCCGTAGCTGAATGTCTGAGTCATCGGGGTAAACTGACCAGTCAGCATGCAACTGTTTATGAATCTATCTAGCATTTAGCGGTGGGCGATATGGAAAAACTATCATACCACGATATTGTTTTTGCAAAATCACGATAACGATTTATTTCTATTTTGACAATTCAGACATTTTGAAAGTTATTTACCATTAAAATACATACATTTAAAATCAAACCCCTTCACATAAAATAGGATAAAAGATTCTTAAAATTCCATTATCTTTCTCTCTCAAATGTGCCACGAGTACTTTCATTTCATCATATACTTACAATTGATGTAAAATAATGAGAGGTGGCTCATATCCTATCATCCACAATAATATCAGTAATTATTTCTTGTTCAGAGAGAGAAAATCCATCATGTTAAGCTAAATTCATAATGCATCCTCGTGTTATACATTCTCTAGTCAGGATGACACTCTATTACACTCACTACTTGTCCCTCACTGCTCTCCGTAGGTGTTTCCTGATTACGTGGGGGAGGGGTTTGGCATCAACAACGTTCCGGTTGGCAGCCACAGTGAAAAGGCTCACTAAAACACACACAAACATCTCCAAATAATAAAAGTCACAAAGCTAAATGCGAATTTTAGAGCAGAACATTGACTCTGATGTTCCCTGATTGAGCAGTGAGAACACACTTAATGACCTCTTAGAGACGGAGCAAGCTAGTGGCTAATGCTAGTATCTAGTCACTATAATTAAGTATGGTGTGCTTCTTCAAAGATTCATAATCGTTTATGTCCGCATCTTAATGCATCGACCGTTAGATTATTTTCCTCAGCTCCACCGAGCACCCCAGCTAAATAAACCAACACACTGCCTTAAACGTGCTCTCAGCGTGTCTTTCGGGCCGAAAGAAGCAGAATAGTAAATAACGTGACTCCAGAAATAATGGCACAGATGATGGCACGCAAATAGTCGGTTCTACGATCTCTGAGCTTTGGTAGATCATCATTACTTTATAATCCTTTATGGTCTTATATCGTCAGATCGCACGGCCCTACTGGCATTCATTCAAAGTTTGGATATTCCAAGTACATCCTGGAAGGTTACATGTGTGCACGTCCTGGCTGAATGGCCGGGACTTTTAAGGGATGTGTCTGGCCATTTATTAGGGCTCCTGGGCCATTTTGAGCCCCAACAAATTTTTTAATGTTATATAGAGGCTCAAAGAACAGTTTCCAATTGTAAAGCTAAGTTGTTCTACAACCACTGTAGTACAAGTACTTCATAATAAAACAGTGATGTGTTGTTGAGCAAATCACAACAAATATGCTCCCCAAATGAATAATTATTTCTGTTTGAAGTCCACTTGCATTAGAATTATAAGTGATTAAAACAGCAACATGCCGGTTTACACCTAAATGCTTTGCAGGGGGAAAAAAAGGTTAAAGTGACTTCATGTTTTCTTGCCTCTTCTAAGAAGATGTTTCGATTCTCTCACTGTAAGAGGACTTCTGACAAGCTTCCCGCCTGGTCCCAATATTCTACCACAGACAAGTGATCTCAGATGGAACCAAACCAAGAGCTCGTATATTTTTGTAGAAGGTGCCCACCATTTAGGGTCTTAACTGTGCTGCGGTAAAGATAAACCCACACTCTTAAGGTGTGTGTGTGTGTGTGTGTGTGTGTGTGTGTTGTGTGTGTGTGTGTGTGTGTGTGTGTGTTGTGTGTGTGTGTGTGTGTGTGTGTGTGTGTGTGTGTGTGTGTGTGTGTGTGTGTGTTGTGTGTGTGTGTGTGTGTGTGTGTGTGTGTGTGTGTGTGTGTTGTGTGTGTGTGTGTGTGTGTGTGTGTTGTGTGTGTGTGTGTGTGTGTGTGTGTGTGTGTGTGTGTGTGTGTTGTGTGTGTGTGTGTGTGTGTTGTGTGTGTGTGTGTGTGTGTGTGTTGTGTGTGTGTGTGTGTGTGTGTGTTGTGTGTGTGTGTGTGTGTGGTGTGTGTGTGTGTGTGTGTGTGTGTGTGTGTGTGTTGATGACACTAGCGACCTCCATCATGGCAGCAGCACCTGGCCAATTGTGAGTATTGCTCTGAGCACACTTTTTCACCGCGACAACCCTTCTGCCCCCCCCTTCGACCACACACACACACACACACACACACACACATCCTCTCTTGCCAGACAGGGAGTAGATGGTTAATGTGCTCCACCTTGCTTCTGGGGCCTGGGGTGGGGGTGTAGTGACACATGTGTGTGTACAAGCGTATAGGTTTGATAGTGAAGCCGCTCAGCGCTTACAATAGCACGCACGTCTAAATGGTGGCACAATCAGCCTCTGTTCTCTCGTCTTCATGCAGGTACATGACACCCCCTGCTCCCCCTCAACAAACACAAAAGAACATTAAAAACACTAATCTCCTTGTCCTTCTGCCCAGAGGGTGCCAGCAACACATATCTTCTCTGAGTCGGGACTCGCCGTTTAAGTTCAGTTCGTCTCCACCTGCCAGAGTAAACAAAGTAAATAGGAACACCTACAACAAGATCTGCAGTAAATATAAATGATGCTACTTCCTTCGGTCTATGCTGTCTGCATTTACTGTAACTACAAATAAATCCCAATACAACCCCTATACTCTGGCTTTTTTTCAAGATATTTTTAAAGATTTAAACATTACTGCATGATAAACATATTTTATAACAGAAAACAGCAATGCAGAGTATTATTTTCTATTTAGAAGCAAAAATGCACTGATGATAGACTATTGCTTTAATTTAGTTGATTTTTAGCTTGGCTTTAAACGAACTGAAATATGAAACAACAGTGGAAATGTGTTCATACTTAATGCTGTTGTTGCTGTTTCCAAAACATCTCAGTTCCTAAAAACTCCAAACTCATATATGGTGTCAGATGTTAAGACCTTTACCTGTTGAAGGTAGCCCCGCCTGTTTGTTGGCAGAATAACTAACAAAACCACAGTTGGATTTAGTAAAACTCCCAGAATCACAATTATAAGGCATATCACTATAATTGATTAACTTAATGAGCCAAAGCAGTAAAAGATGGCTACCACAGCCAATTTATCTTAAAAATCAGAATAATTTTCTCTCATTTTTACTTATATTGAGCTAAAAGTTGGTGCACACTCCAAGTCTAACTGGTTGTTTGAGATCTGTTGACAGATTGTACTAACATGATTTATACATTTTGACCAAAACACTTAAATCATTTTGTGTCGAGAAATGAGTTATGAGTTTAAAATTCTGGCCTGTTTTCCTTCTTCATGTTTTTTTGTCTAATATTAGTGATTTGAATGCCAACACACCAATGTCGGTACCACATTACGTTAACACTCCCCTCATTAAAGACTAATAAATAATCTATAGATATGTTATTATTCATCTATAAACACTTTAAATCATTAATACATGTTTATTATGCATTAATTAAGGGTGAGAAAGAGACAAAACAGAGCCAAATATTTCATCTAGAGTTGCTACAATAAACATTTGTAACAAAGTTAATACCTTGTCAACAAAAACTGAATTTGTAAAATAAATAAATAAATAAATAAACATTTGAGAATGTGCTATTGCACTTTAAATTTAAATAGAGCTTGACTGTAAACTGGTTCCAGATAGTTTTAGTTAAAGCCCCAATGACTGTCTATATTAAATGCTAAATAACAGCTTGGTTCTACTTTTATGAATATTTATTGAAATAAGTAGTTTAATGTTTTACTCTTGACATCATGGCTCCCTTTGATAGTTGTGAATATTTATAACGCAGTGATAAATCACAGTAATACATTAAATGCTTATTTTACACACAAGGTAGTAACTTGTAAGACAGATTTGGCTCACTATTTGGTCAAGTTTTGACTTGTTCTTAACGTTAATTAATGCATTAAAAAGTGTCTTTAGTGCTTCAGGCAGACTCGCAGACAACAGTAGGTGTTATTTGCATCAGCCGGTACGCTTTCATGGAATGAAAGCATTTAATCTGCCTTTGCTCTAGTTGAAAATGTCTCAAGTGAGAGCTAAGGAGCAAACAGATCAGTCATCTGCTAAATGTGTGAATCAGTGAAGTCAACAGATGAGGTGTTTAGAGTTATAAAGTTCTTTTTCCCCATCTCTCCCCGAAGGTCCACAGCGAGTTTGTGAGAAACATCGAGAACACGTCGCTGGAGAGTTTAATACAGAAATTGGCCGAGAGCAAAGGAACGGGCAAAGAGGGGCCAGGTAAGCCGCCAGAGGCGTGTGTTTGTGTCAACAAGGCCTGACTTAGGCTTTCTGAAAGTTCTTGCCTTTTATAGAGAGAGCTGGTGGAGGCGGGATACAAAGAGGAAGTTAGAAGTAAGGGTGGGCCATCAGAGGCAATCATTGTAAGCTGCTGTAAGTTTAGGCCGGCTTGGCATTCCATAAGCATGTGACACACGTGGAGGGCTTTGCTGTGCTTGCAGACTAAGCAGGCATAACCAACTTTCTGAGGGGGTCAGAGCTCAACAATGACTCTTGTGTAAACTTTGTCATGCCGCAGTAAGCAAGGGAGCACTCCAACCCCGCATCAGTTAGTTATCACTTACTTTTTCCAAAGCTCTTTATGCAGTGCTCCTGGTCTAATACCAGTCGGACGTGCGTGTGACCAGTCAGCCCTGTCGTAAACATGACCTCTCGGGTCCCCGAGCTTGTGCTAAGTTACGTCAGTTGACGGGCACAGAGGGTTCACCTCTGCTGTGCTTGTGTGTACACAGATGGCGACCCCTGTGTCCAAACGCTCCGTCCAGCAAGCAGTGGCCTTCATTTGTTTGGACAGCAGAATTAATTGAAGTTGAAAAAAAATCGGTCTGAAAATTCCTCTTCCTATCAAGCTGTTCATTAGGGTCTGCACAGCAGCTCCGGCGCTGTCAGAAAAATAACCCCTCTTCCCCTTGATATGAGAGAGGGAGAGAGAGAGGGAGAGTGAAAGAGAGGTGGTGGTGGTGGTGGGGGGGGGGGGGGGGGGGGTACTGTTCAACAATATCCAGCTGAGCTGTCAACTGGCGGTCAGCCAGACACGCAACCCCCCCCCCCCCCCCCCCCCCCCCCCCCCCCCCCAAAGAGCCATGTGAAGCATATGCATTCTTTTTAAAAAAGCATTTTGCGTGTGTGCGTGCTTCCCTCACAGAGAGTAGAAGGAAAAGAACCATCTTCCTCCTTATAAACACCGTCGTCTGTCTGTTTGGGATGTTTAAACAGTTCCTAATGTCGGGCCAGGTTTTGGTAATATGCCTGTGTGCTGTTTGGACATTTTTGTGCAGTTGCTGTGCATAAATATTGTCAGATACAATCACAGGATGCTGGCGGAAAACAGTTCCCGTGCCGCCTCAGTCTTTATGTAAATTCTCCAGTTGTTCCTCCACTTCTGGGATTTTTCTGTTTTTTTTCCTGATCCCTCTGTTTGACTGCACCTGCAACTCATGCAGGAACATGGGTGAAGTAAGTACAACCACTACAAATACTTGTTTTATATCCAAACAGTACCTGGGAGGGGGGTTGATGCTGAATGGGCGCTCTGTTGTGAGGATGTGGTGGTATTGTGCTGCAGAATAGACAGGTCATTTGTGTACTTGGTCCACTTTACTTGGCGTGACGCATGCCTCTCGTGACTCGCTGCTCCCTGAGCTTCACTCAGCGCTGCACACGCCAGACAATGCGTCAATTCTGCTCCCGACCGACGTGCTCTGGGGAGAGCACATAGAGCCGCTGCTGATGCTGTGTGCTTTCTTGAGTTAAAATATCATTAGCTTTGTTGTTTTTAGGTCAAGTCGTGTTAGTGGATCAGGAATATCGCCAGAGGGTCCTGCCCCCATCTTCTGTGTCACTCCCCTGCTTGTCTTCCTGTTTAGCATCTCTGTTAAAAAGCCACCAGTATCTGGTCAGAATAGCAAAAACAAGCTCTGCATTTTAGCGTCATTTATCTATTTAACTTTAACATCAGTAAAGAAAGAAAGAAGGCAAAGTCCTGACTGATGTGAACCCACATTGCATGCTGTTCTCTTAGTCTGTGTGCTTTTTGTGCCTCCACCCTTTGGAAATCCTCAGTAAGTGTCTCCGATGTGACATGTGAAGCATGGCGGTGGAAGAGCTGCGTCTTGGGGGTAAACTCGCATAATTGATGAGCAGCAAATCAAGTGGAGACCAAGTTTTTGTTGGCAGTTTTCTCATCGTGTGATTAATGCATTTGAATAAGCAAAAGAAATATTATTTCTCTTTTTATATTTGCTGACATCAGTTCATGACTGGTTGCGCTTCAAGGGATATTGTGGCCATGATATGTTGTTAGTGTGGCTGTGATTACGTTTGTTTACACAGAGCTTACCCAAAAAAGAAGGCGAAAAGAGGTTTAGTTGTTTTTAAGCCGAAGGAGCAGATTAGTCCGTGTGCCTTTAAAGGTATTGGCCAGACTCTGCATTAAAATTGTAGAAATGTAGTATAACTACACTTTACCGTCTATATAAATATGAACTGGGTTCAGATTTTCATTTAGTTAAGGACTTTTGTCATAAATCATTACATAAAATCCAAATCCTCGCTTCCAGACAGTGAAGAACTGTGTTCCGCATACGTCACTCCAGCACGTAAAACAAGGTAGCTGCTGTTGCTGCTATTGTGAATAACTGTATTTTGTTTACCTTCATGCTCTTGATTATTACGGAAAATTGCGTTTACAGCTGCAGCAAAAGGTGTGAGCCATGAGTCCGTGTCCTACACGCATTTTTAAATAACAGGTCTGATCTAAAATATTAACCTACATCTATAAATCCATCTGGAACCGCACCACTACTTCTGGACTCCAGACGAGTCCCGTTAGCATGACTGCAGCAACACTGCTAACCGTGTTAGCTCCGGTAAGGAAAAAACAAGTCATTTGGGAAAGCTACGACACACACGCAGATATAATCTAAAAGATGATCACCATATTTCAACAACAGATCCTCCTGGGACCGAGAACCTCCGTGCCATCCTGGATTAGTGCAAACGACCAGCCGAGCTAGCGAGTTAACTCCATCGTCAGGAAGATTTGTTCTGGTAAATTATTGGTTAAATATTTTCTGGAGTTTTATCAACATATACACACAGCGGTAAAACTGGCAGCACATTATTTTATTTATCTGTAGATTATTGAATTGTATTGAGGCAGATGATGGAGCTAAGACCAGCTGAGAACTCGCCAGTGTAGAGCTCCCGGTGGAGCCCAGAAATGAAAAATAAAATATAAAAGTAAACAAACTGTACCGATTTTGATTCTGAAGATGAACAGAATCCTCCCCAGTGTTCAAATCGGGTCGCAGATCTTCTGAGTCAAACGGTCTAAAACATGTCTGCACCTCTGGTAGTGATATCCAGCTAGAGGGGTCGGAGTTTGGTTGAACTTCTCTGGTAATGCAATATCCGTTATCGTCGCCGTATCCCAGGGAAAAAACAAATCTGACCAACTAGCAGAGGCTTCAGAAGCTACATCTGATTGATGACACGTTGTTCTCTGCTATAACGCTAACGCAGAAACACCGGAGTCCGGCGTTGTTTACTACAGCTGTTACAGCAGAGCTCCTTGTGAAACAGCTGCACAGGACTTAGACCGGAAGCTGGTCTCTGTTTTTCCCGCTCCAGTCACAAACATCAGATTTTCTTTAAATTCCAGCCGTGAAAATCCAAAAACCTTTTTCATCTGAGGCTTTAATACTTTTTTACGCATGCCATTCAAAGGAATTTTGCCTGTGGCCAATATCTTTAAACCTTTTTTTTTATGACCATAGCCGTTTTTGTTTGATTATGATGGGGTAGCTTTAGGTGTGCACCATTTAGATTTCATATCACAATGTCAAACCTACTACTGAGATTTTGGAATTATTCTATAGTTGCAGTGGTTGTGTGTGTCTGCGAGGAGTGTTGTGGAGTGTTTTGTGTCACCAGGAGGGACTGCCACATCCCTGTGAGGGCCACCAGACACACAGTTGACTCCTGCTATTGACCCTGTCTGCCTTGTGAGATCAGCCGAGCCCTGTTTGTGTACACATCCTGCTCGGCACGCCATGCTGCATGTTGTGTTTGGACTGTCCGAATGTTGCGTGATGCACATTCAGTTCTGCCAAGTAGTGGGTCTTTGACCATTTCCATGAACCTAAATGTTGTTTTTTGTCTTATTAGGACCCATTGACTTTGAGGAGTGCAACACAGCCATTGCAACAGAAGGTGCGTCTTTATGCAATGTTTAAAGGGGTGTGAATTGTGTTTCTGTGTCATAAATATTATTATCGTACCTGTTCTAAACAGCTTACAAATTGCCTTCTGTTTGTACAAATAGAGTTAAAGTAGAGTTTCCCCCATCTCAGGAATTATACATGTCTTTTTTCAAACTCTGTAAAAGTGATAGTCTTGCCCAGTACTGTGATATAATGTAGACAATAAGTTTTTTTTTTTTTTTTTGCTAAACCCGCCTCCCGTCCTATGGAGCTACATGCAATTTGAACTGGCTGCCGTTCAGCATTAGCCAATAGCGTTAGAGAATCACTTACGTGCAGCAGTCATTCACAGAGGGTGTACACGTTATTCTATAAGTAAGTAGACCCATAAAGAGTCGACTAAATGTCTTATTAACAAATAAGTCTAAAAAAATATTGTATATATATATGTGTGTGTGTATGTATATACATATATATGATTAAACAGCACAACATGAGAAAAATAATCATATAACAATGTTTTTTAGCTCTTATGCCCAGCTAGAGGTGTGCGATCACGAACAACAGGCGTTGCTTTCCACTGTGATCCAAGAAGTGGTGAGAGGGGCTTAAAGCTAACATTTGGAGAATTTATTGATCTGATGGCACCATCTAGAGGCTGACTAATGTATTGCACCGTAAGCTGCTGTTTTCACATATCACAGTACAGTGTAAGACTGTCGCTTTTACAGATTTGTAAAGAAATTATACATAAATCCTGACAACTATGGATTGTAGCTTTAAGGTGTGATAAATGCTTCACCTGTAGATGGCGCCCTCTGAGAAAGAACTATAAACTTGTGCTTTAATGTTCTACAGGTCTGGTGATCAAATCTGGATGCTGTGCTGAATAAAATAAACTTCACAGCAGTGACATTATTTTATTAACCCCTCCAGTATTGTTTTACAGTTATTTACATTATTTTACATGTGGGAATATCACTATTAGAAGTACTGTAAAAATGCACCCTTTGACCAAAAGTGTAGAGAATGACCCAAATATTGAGTGTCACCATTTTCTGTCTCAGCGTTTCTGTTTGTAACAAAAAAATTTTTTGTCATTTTCTAAACCAGCTAGAGTACAGCTAGGGGCCGAGTCCTCTAGCATGCTTTTTTAACATTTCCCACAGAAATATCCTTGTAACGAGAGCTTGGTGGCAAATGAAACGTTTGTAAGGTGCCGTCTGCTGGGACATGTAGGACATGAGTTCAGTTCTGCAGGACGTGCTCACCATGGCTCCTAAAGGAGGGGGTTTAAGAAGCAATTTATGAGAGTTTAAAAAAAGAATAATTTTTACACAAATACTAAATTATGAAACAAAATTCCCTTTAAAAATATACTTTTAGTGGCATTTCACTAAATTAAAGCAACACAGTGAATGAATAAGAGATGATTTAGCTGTTTTATTGTACTTTTTAGCGCCTGATGTTTGAAAAGTTTTCTTTGTTTTTTTTTTTTTTTTTGCTTTAAGGTGCCAAACCCAGAAAGCGAAAACCGTTTGGCATTCCAGGCCGCAGGAAAGATAAAGACACGGACTCCACGTGAGTGAGGATCCCACAGCACATTCAGGTTCTTTCATTTGTGAGACGACTTCTCACGTCCATGCGGTTGTTTTGCCTTTCAGGGAGTCCACAGAGGTTGAAGCTGTGAGTATACCGCTCCTCCCAACAGATATTCCTGATCTTTAGTTTTTATTCCTGTTTCACGTCAGCTCACTCAGGAAGGGAACCAGATTCCTGCTCATTCATTCATTCATTCATTTGTTCATTCATTCATACATTCATTTCTCTGTGTGCTTGTAGAACACTGCCAACGGTGCTCCCCCAGGATATTATGGCTCTATAGACATCCAGAATGCTGTAAGCAAGCTAATAACCCTACTCCTCACCACACACTTACTCCTACTAAACATTCATAACATTTTCATGCAAGATTATTTTGGAAAAATAGTTTTTGTTACAGCAAAAGTACAAGTATTTCTGTATGTTTAAATTTTTAGGGTTAGGGTTGCTGAAAAACAAGGAAGTAATCGTTACTTTTTTTGATAAATAGATTAGAAACATTGTGATTTAGCAATTGAAGGTATAATTCAGGATTAATGACTTAGTCTCCAAGAGATTATAACAAATTTAGGTCTGAAATCAGTTAAAACTCTTCATTTGGAATGAAAAGTTTTTTACAGAAGCAGGAAGATCTGTATAAGGAGAATAAACAAGTATTAGTTGTATTATTTTTTAAATATTTGATTACTTTAAAGGTGAATCATCAAGGGGAAAATTGTTTCTAGATGTGTCTTTTTTTAAATAAATGTCACAATAGTTTATTAAATATGTTATAAACTATTTATAAAAAGTAGTTGTAGTTATTTTGGGATTTCCGTATTTTGTGGGCTGTGTTTGATGAATTTGTGTCACCCGTCAGCATAAGAGGGACCGATGCTGACGGCAGAAAGAAGTCTTCTCAAACATGCCGGCCTCTTTTCTGAAGGAGTTCTGTGAGTCTGTGAGGTTTCTTAGAAATCAGAATCTGTGGTAAAAACTTTATTGAACTTTATTTAGGAATTTCCACTCAGCTGGATCAGGAAGTTTATGATGGAAGACACGGTCCTTCAGCACAGATGTAGATTATGGTCAAAAACAGGCTCTCCACCTGCCTCTCTGCCTTTTCTCTTTACAGCCGAGTGTTTTATCTGTAGTGTTGGAGGAAAACAACTAAAAGGAGACATCAGGGTCTGCAGCAGGGGAGCACACCACGATCAAAGGAAAATCCGCATAAAACTTAGTTGTTGCTAAATAAAACTCACATAAACAGATTTTCTTGTTCTGTTTTCCATTTTAGCAGAAGGAAACTCTGACAGTTACATCTAGTTTGACCTGTGTTGAGGACACAGTTTTAATGAGTAACACATCTCTACAAAACACCTGTTAGAGGTGATGGAGTCTGTCTCTAAACATATTCAAATGTCGAATCAAACAGTGTGAGAATTCCTCAGTAAAGGACTGTTTCAGCACTGGTTCTGAGTCATCAGCTTGTGATTCTGTTTGTCTATATATATCTCACCAACTCAGGAGGGGTCCCCCATAAAATAAGCGGCCATGTTTCAGTTGTGTTAGTGTCATTCTACAGGGCTTAATGGATAAAAAAGAATCGAGTACAAGTACACACGTGGTGTAATTTCACTTAAATGTGTTTCCTAAGGGCTGCGCAGTGGCGCAGTGGTTAGAGCTGTTGCCTTGCAGCGAGAAGGTCCTGGGTTCGCTTCCAGGTCTGGGATCTTTCTGCAGGGAGTTTGCATGTTCTCCCTGTGCATGCGTGGGTTCTCTCCGGGTACTCCGGCTTCCTCCCACAGTCCAAAAACATGACTGTTGGGTTGATTGGTCTTTCTAAATTGTCCTTAGGTGTGTGTGTGTGTGTGTGGTTGTTTGTCCTGTGTGTCTCTGTGTTGCCCTGCGATGGACTGGCTCTCTGTCCAGGGTGTACCCCGCCTGATTGCCCATTGACTGCTGGAGATATACCCCCCCCCCCCCCCCCCCCCCCCCAACCCTACATGGACAAGCGGGTTCAGAAAATGGATGGATGTGTTTCCTAAATAATTCAAAATAATGTAGTTGTGCAGATTTGTGAAAACATGGACCTGCTATATTTACTAAGATAATTTCAAACCCCTTTTTTATTACATTTTGTGTGTGTGTGTGTGTGTGTGTGTGTGTGTGTGTGTGTGTGTGTGTGTGTGTGTGTGTGTGTGTGTGTGTGTGTGTGTGTGTGTTTTGCAGAATGTGCCTCGGGTTGATGCAGAGGGCTTCTGCATCAGACCAGAAGTGAACGAAAACGATATCCTTTCCTCTGCTCCATTTGGACAACGGTCACGTTTTAGTTCATCCTTCTCTGTTTTAGTTTGTCTCTCCCTTTCCCTTAACATGACCGCTCACATGCCAAAGACAATTCCTTCTACTCCTCCAGTGAGTCGGAGGACGAAGAAGAGCCCAAGAAGTTTCACGTGCAGATCAAACCTGTTCAGCCGAACAACGGCATCCATCAGAACCGAGCCAACATCGACGAGCTCAAGGCGTCCATCGGAAACATCATCCTGTCACCGTCCACCTCGGTATGAAAACACGATCCGCCTACGGATGAAGAAAGCAGCCGGTCGATGTTCTGTTCTGCCTCTTTAACACTAGAGGGCAACGAGAGGATACCTTAAATCTGTTGAACTAATTCTTTTAAGTAAAGTAGGAGCATTTGTTCAGGTGTACTCTCTAATCCTCGTTAGTTCCTGGTTCTTGTTTTGTTTCTACCAAACCGCTTTAGGGACCACTTTTTATTTTCTGACATGTTTGTTTTTACCACAGACTCACACATTTACTCACAGCAGCCCCCCATCTTCTTGTCTCCTCCTCCATCATCTCTGAATCTCGACACAAAATAGCTGCAGCCATTAACGTTTTAAACCACGACTGCTTCAGCACCCAGAGTGTGTTTTAGTTGCTGATGCCGTCACCGAGAGCTCGCTGTGGGACTCACCCGCCGCTACACGAAATACTTCCTCTGCTTTTACCACCAGCTTTGTTTGTTTCTCTGTTTACTTTATTTTTTAGGTTTTTGTTTGAACTGTCTTCTTTTAGCTGCAGGTTTTCTGACTACTTTGAGTCTGTTTTTCATATTTGCGTTTTTCCACCAGGAAGAATCAACATTTAGGATAAATCTATGGATGAGGTTTTTTTTTTAAGTAGCCTAAAAGTTTTAAGATATATTTTTATTTTGAACTTTTTCCTCATTCAAGTAAAATCTGCAGTTATAGACTAGCATCAGGTTCTATTTCCTCATCTTTTGCTCCTTTTTTCTAGCCAAGGAGTTTTAAATTAAAGTTGAAACGTTCATCCAAGGTGGCGAGCACCGTCGCTTCATCTGGAGTGAATTATTGAAACACCCCCCCCCCCCCCCCCCCCCCCCCCCCAATGCTCATTTTTCTGTCTTTTTCATTTCTTCTCCTGTTCAGTTCTACCTCCATGGTGTTCCCTTTATTGAAAAGGCAATGGAAGTCGTGTGTGTGTGTTTCCGTGTGTGTGTGTGTGGCCAGCGAGGGCCGTAATTGAACCCATTTGCCGCTTAGCGCCTGTGGGACTAAACCCCAGCCTTGCAGCTCTACGGTGGTTAAACGTTTTGCTGTGTTCCTTAAGCCCATTTTGTTTCTTTTTCTCCCCCCCCCCCCTCCTCCCCCCGCCACCCCTCCTAACCTTTCTCCTTGTAAGAAACGGGTGTTTTATTGAAACTGATGCTCTTACTTTCTCCCTCGAGGGCGTATCTCTCGTATCTTGTGTTTGACGGCGAGACACGGCAGATTTATGATGGAGGAAAATAAAAAGGATCTCGGTGGAGGAAGTGGGTGAAGTGTTGGGGGCACGTTCCTCGTTGTCCCTGACCGATCGTTGGACGGCCTTAGATAAACCGTTCTGTGCTGCAGAATTTTTCACCCTAAGTTTAACGTCTGGTATGTGTGTGAGTCCAGAGTCGTCCTGTGATTTAATGGCTTCAGCTCTGAAGTGGAAACTTCTGTCTGCTGCTGGGAATAAATCAGCACCTAAATACTTTTCCTACAGATTCAGACATTAACTTAAGACTAATTTGAGGATTAAAATTTAAACGATAGACTGTTTAAACATTTCTGGTCCTTAAAATATCGCTTTCATCTTTCAAAACAAAAAACTGATTTTAAAAATGACATTTTCTTCTCTTTTTTTTGTGTGGAAGTAAACAAATCTCTGGCATTAACGCCCAACCTGTGTGTTCTTGTAAATATGCAATGTCCTTATTTAATTTTTCTGTCCTTTTCTTCAGGGACAGATGCGGAGGAACGCGTCCAGTGAGTATTTTTCTAAACTTTTTGGTTCATTGTGTTTTTGTTGGCCCAAGTTTTTGTTTTCTTTGAAGAAATTATTTTTGAAAAGGAAAATACAGAAGCTCAGCCAAAAACAACCTAAACTAAACAAAAAGATGTTTCTTTTGCAGTTTCTTGTACTTTGAGAAGTCAGAAATGTTCTTTTCATGAACTTCTAATGTATTTTTTGCTGTAATTATTCCTTCGTCTAAAAAAATCCCCGTTTTAAAGAAGAATAAGAACCAGCTGCATCACAACGTTTCAGTATTAACATTTCTGAGTGAAAACGCTGTCTCGTCGCAGCACGTCCTGTGTCACGCTTCAACTTCTCATTCCTTTATTCAGAAGAGAAGGCTGAACTGTTCTCATTTTCCATGACTAATGTGTGCGAGTTCTCTCTGATGAAACCCATATACTACGAATTAAGGATTTAAGGAATTAAAAGACCGCCGAGTTAAACTAAACTTTCCAGATTGAGTTGGTAAGTGGGTGGCATGCATGCTCTACAAAAAAACAAGACTTGCAAGATCAGTTCCAGACGAATAATTTGGGTACAGAAGGAGTGAAAGCAGCCAGAAACAGGTATTTTGGCTCTGATCTGTAGCAGTTGTTACCAAAAAGAAAAAGGCTGAAAAAAAAAGCACTAAAAGGGACCAATTAAAACCTGGATTTTATCTGGAGAAATAAAAACTGCCATGACGAGTTGGACTTCTGACTTAAATGTGAATCTGGTAATCATATTTTTTAATGAACGCTAGGATGAGTCAGCCAGAGCTAAATGTTACCGAACGCTCGCTCCAAAACACTTCAGAGACGTCGCAGTTTCAGTTAAAGCCAAACGGCTCTGAATGTGCTTTAATCCTACACTGGTTAACTACAACTGAACACCTCTATGTGTGTAAATGTAATTCATCACAACATAAATACATTTTTTTTTATTATTTGGTTGTTGAAAACCTGTAAAACTATATTTTAGATTAATGTTTTGTTTCAAATCTACAATGATGGTTTAACTTGGTAGTAACTGAAATTCTACAAGATTCTTCGACGTGTTATTAGATTAAATATGATACACTCTCAAAGTATCTGAAGCTTAAACATCCCCCTTAGCATAAGTCAGACATCTGAGAGGTTAGTCGCAGCTCCAGACATTTATTTACGTCATTTTGATGTTATTATTGATATTTATGTTAAAATTTAGAATTATTAATCATCTTAATATTATTAAAGTCATTTCAGCTTCAATGTGTCCAAAAATTTGACTTGTTCTGTATCTTTGTCAGTGACAGAGGTTGATTATTTCACTCATAATCTTAAATTTTCTTTGCGTTAAGGTGTGCTTTACATCTGTTTTGAATTACATATATATATATATATATATATATATATATATATATATATATATATATATATATATATATATATATATATATATATACCGTAAATCCTCTAATACAGGCCCGGGCCTGTATTTGACTCAAGCTCATCAAGCTCCAGGCCTTTATTGGAAGGAGGACCAGAATTAGAGGCAGGCCTCTATTTCTATTTGAGCAAAATGAACTAATGGTTCGCTGGAGTTTTTGACAATTAAAATTGCGCCCACATTTTCAAAGTTAAACACATTTCTTTTAACAGCGGTAGTTTCTGCTTCAGCCCTCTCCCCCCTCCCCCTGCGCAGCGGCCGCAAACTCACTGATGCGCCTGCAGCCTCTCGGAGTTCCTGCTGCTCTAAACATTAAAATAATTATTTCATTTTCTGTTCCTCACTTCTGATTACCTTCAATGGTGTCTGTTTGTTGCAACAGCAGGTACAAAAACTAACTTGTTTTTATTTGACTATTTTTCTGTCCTGTCTGTTTATTATCTTCCTGCATCTCCTCTCAATCCTAAAGAGAAACGGCTACCTGGGTTCATATATATTCACCTTATGAGTTACCTTTGAACTGCAGTTCTAAAAGATCTACCGACCGCAAAAACAGCGGAGTGCGCGCTGCTCGCCGGCCGCATCAGTGATCGGTGCGTCACCGGAGGACAAGGACAAGGTGATGTGCCCCGCTCCACAGCAGCGAAACGCGTCAGGTGCAAATAAAAGACAGAAAACATTAAAGGAAATGAGCCGACATGACATGAACGATCGCGTGTCAGTACCGACGCTCTGGCACAGCGTGTTGCCCCCCAAGTAAATACCATCCATCCACAGTCCCCCCAGCGCTGCTGTCCCGCCCCCTCTCATACAGGCTCATTTTGTGCATTAGGAAGCTGTAGTCGTGCAGCTACGGCAGAGTTACGCACAAGCACTCCACACCCGCAGATTGTCTCCAAACTCTTTATTCAGTCTTTCGGACGCTCCTCGATCCACAGGCCCAACCTAATTCATGTGGAAAAAGACGCCTCCTCTGTGTCTGCTACCTGTTTATGTTAGAGGAGGAGGACGTCTGATTATTGATGCGCTTCACCTGCTGTTGCACACGCTCCCGCTGTCACGTCTGCTCTCCGGCAGACCCGTGCCCGACGCGCTGCCACAGACTCAGAATCTTTGCGCAAGAGGCACATCGCTGCCTTAAAGCATGCTGAGCACACAGCACTGTCAGCTCAGACAAGAGGAGAGACAAAATGAAGAGGCGAGTTTGACACCATGCACGTTTTCATGGCACGCAGCACCTGTGGATGTGGACTGAAGATGGAATTTTACAGCAGCCCTGATTATAATTCATTTAATTTAATTCTGTTTATTTATATAGCGCCAATTCACAACAAGAGTCATCTCAAGGCACTTCACACAGTACACACTCCAATACAGTTCAGTTCATTAAGCCAATCAGTAAAAAGTTTCATATATAAGGAACCTAGCAGGTTGCATCGAGTCACTGACTAGTGTCGGTGTCTTTACAGCAATCCTTATACTAAGCAAGCATGTAGAGACAGTGGAGAGGAAAACTCCCTTTTAACAGGAAGAAACCTCCAGAGGATCCTGGCTCAGTATAAGCAGCCATCCTCCACGACTCATTTAAATGTCTTGCTAAATGTGTACACCTTCACCTCCGTCTTATGTTGTCTCTGGTTCATAGCCTTTAATCCATGCTATCTACAGTATTAATATTATTGGTGTTGTATAAATAATATTTAGGAAAACGTCCATCCATATTGGCCTAAGTCTGTCTATTTAGTGAACGTGAAAGAGAGAGAGCGGTGTTCATATTGTATTGCAATTACCGGTAGTTGTTGTCGTATCTACATTAGTTTCATGGTGTAATTTCCCATTTAGACCAACATAAATCTTAATCTGCCAGTATGATGGATTTCTGGTTCCAGCTGCTTTTGCTGGGTGAAGATTCTCAACCTGAGGCTCATTTATAGCACAAGAACACCTGAGCAGCCTGGCTATCATCAGCTCAGCTCAGAAGTAAGACAGCATCAGATGAGGTCACCTCATAGATGACTTTGCATTACGATAAAGGATATGTGTTTGCAAAAGGCTTCTTTCATTGTTGAAAGAGGCTCATGTAATCTACGCCTGCTAAGTTGTAAATCTAAATAACTCCAATAATTCAGTCATTTTGCAATGGAGAAGGCCTCAAATCCCCCCTTGAGACAAAATAATCGTAGGCCTCCAGACATTTTCTTCTTCCGGCTCTTGGAGGGTGCAGACGCTTCTTTCCTCTTCTCCATATCTTATCCTCAAGGCCCTTTGTCTGTGTGTGCTGGGTGCACGGCCGCTTCTGCATTTTTTTGGGAAACTGGAAACTGAAATTTACTAAAATAGATCTCGTCAGTTGGTCTCTCAACGAGATTGATAAAAAATTTTCAACGATGAGAACGGGAGAAGGGGCTCTCGGATGCCCCTCTGCGACAGACCCAGTTGGACACATCATGGACTCCTGGAAACAGTGGAACTTGATTTGTCTATCTCAGCTGTCTGTGGAGGACTCTCAAGACGTGTGGATATTTGTGGCGTTGGTGTCAGGTTTCCTGCTCATTGGCCTTGGAGGCTACCTGGCTTACCGGAAAATTAACGAGCTGTTGAGGAATATTGGCTTGATCCCGGAGCTCAGAGTTGGATTGCACCGCGCTGTGAATTCACAGACTCACATAATTGTCGAGATGAGTCGTAAGCTTGGAACTTTGGCCGAGATTCATTCTTTGGCACAAAAGATGGATGCCATCAAGGAGAGAGTGGACGAATCAGCACAGATTGGGATAGATTAACGTCCATTATTGGGATTTTTAGAGGTTGAGGACCAACAAACTGTAAGACAGAGAGGAAATTATCTCTGTCTGGCCCCAAAACAGTTTCTAATCGGAATCTGGCACCCTTGAGCCTGCAAGGCTCCAACGAAAACTCCCCCCTCAGAAGATATGTGTAATGTGTCGTCGCTATGGCAACTCAACTCTGTCTCCTTTCCCAGCCTGGGCGGGACTGCGAGAAGGCCGCTGAAACGTTTCAGGGTCACTGCAACCCTCCAACCCTCAATGCTCCTCCACTATCCACACTGAGGTGACATGCGCTGCTTATCGTGGCTGCAGGAACTGAAGTGGGGATAGTCCCAACCCACCACCCCACCTAGTGGACACTTATGTTGTGCTGTCTGAAGTCTGTTGCATATTTGAGGTGTTTTTTTGCAGAGCAAAGCTGCCCTCCTGGTGGAGGGTAGCTCTGAAGTGCCTTTTTTTCCTTCCACCTGAACCAACCCTCATGTAACCCTCTGATCTCTATTAAGGTAGCGCGACTCAGGGTTGCGAATGACCACAGTCACCAATTCTTGTCATGTGTCTTGCCCATGTATGTCTGATCTCTGAAGTGTGTGTACTGAAACTCTTAATTTCCCTCTGGGATTAATAAAGTATCTTTGATTTGATTCTTTCATTTTTATGAGTGCAGGGTCCGGGGCTTTCTGTTCAGTAAGAATAAATATCTCCCCAGCAGATTTGTGAAAAAACACCAGCGAATCGGGCCAATGTTTTCCGGCATCCCAGAGGTCATATGGGCTTTTAATAACTTTAATTTTGTCTTCCATAAGCTTCTCTCTAAGCCTCCTCCGGTCATTGGATGGTAGAGTATTTAGATATCTGGGATATTGTACGTAAACTTTCTTAAAAGTGTACGTCGCATATTGATTGCAGGTTGTTTTGTGTTTGTTTATGCCTTTTTTTATGTTTGTTTCTGTCGGTCTCAAAAGAGAAAACCTATGTAGAAAATACCCTGCAATCATCATAAAAAAACACGTAATTTTCATCAATGATCGATCAATCAAATCGCACACCGTATATATAATCAATAGATGTTTGGATAATTTTGTTTTTGGTTGGGCTTCATGTAATTTTCTCCCATGTATTTATGTTTTCTGTCCTGTCATGAATATAATCCTGATTGTTTTTCTCACTGCAGGTGATGAACTAGCAAAATCTAGAGCGCCGTACGAGTGAGTCAAAAATCAGTTTTTCCTTCTTTATAAATAGATACTTCCTTCACTTCAGGATTTGTGAGCTTTGGATTGTCCCTTTGGTTCATTTGAGTCATTAAAGTTTGTTTCTATCACAATTCTGGCAGACTGACGAACAACGACCTCCTGTCTCTGGATCCGTTGAGCCCCGCTTTGCCAGTCGGATCCTCCTCCTCTGTGTCGTCAGCAGCAGGTAAACTCAGAGCCTAAAAAGATCGGTGGAGATGTTTCCCCTCGAACGTCTCAATCATCTCTACCTTTTTAAACAGGACCCTCGCCCAAATGTCCACCAGTTAGTTATTTAGGTTGAGCTGTGGTGTTGTTTTAACCAGTTTAAATAAAAAAGTATACGTACAGAACGCTGAAGGAGGTGATTTTTTAAATTTAAACAGCATTTCTGTTTTTTTGCTAAAAACATTTAATCAGATTCTTATTAGAAGAAAGTTCTGATTCTCCTTCAGTCCAGCATTTTAGCTCTGAAATTAACTAAATGTTTTAATCTGGAGACTTTTTTTGTTTCCTGTTTGCATTTTATCCATTTTCTTGTTTAATTCTCAGTTATTATGCATTTTTCCTGGGTTTAAATAGCTGATATAGGTTTTTAAACACATGACATGTATTAGATCATTCATCTGTGCTCGTTTACTTTCAGTTTTATGTAAATGTTCTTGCAGCATCAGCGTTTATTTCTTTAAGCATGTGTTTTTGATACTTATGGCATTAAATGTGTTTTCCATGCACAACCCTGGAGTTTAAACAGAGTGACATTAGCACTGACCCATTACTCAGGTTAAACATAATCCACCGTTAATTGGCACCTTGCTGAGGTCAAGGGGTCGTCTATAAAGCCCATGTTGTCAAACAATGTCTTGTTACTGTCAAAGGTCTCAGCTTAAAAGTCAAAAGAGCATCAAGTGCCCCGGTTCGGATACGGCTGTGAGACGTTTTCAGCCTGTTAAAGAACCGTGGTCATCACATTTGTGTTATTATCTTTATGTTCACAAATGAAATCCTACATTTACTCATTTTGGGAGGTAAACAAATATGTTTCTGCATCCTTTCATTTAAATGACATTGTTGATGTTGATTTAATTTATTTTCATTGTACATTAACTCCAATTTCTGTTTTGTTCATTCATTTATTCCTGCACCACTTTTGAGTTTTAATCACTTGATTTTTTTTTGGGTTTTCTTATTTTTTTCAACTTCTCATCAGACTTGGCTTCTGTCCTCCTTTCAATCCCTCCATCTCCACCTTTTGTGATGAGTGACTCTGACGTCTTTCTGCCTGAGGCACCAGGTAAAAATGTGTGCCCCCATTTCCAGAGAGGACTTTAAAAATGATCATGAGATCATTAACAACCAGGGTTTCTTCCGGGTTATTCTTGGCCAATGTTTCCTTTATAATTCATACTTTAAGGATACTTTGCAACTTTTTTCCCCCGCAATCCACTGATTTCCCTCTTTCCTATTCATTTTCTCGCTCCCTTTCCTTGCATTACTTTTTAATCACAAATTTTAATTTTTTATTTTTCTCATTTTAAACATGTTTTAGCCATGTTTTTTTAATCGTTTCTATACTTTAATTGCTTTTTTTTGTTTTGTTTGTAAAGCACCTTGTGATTTTTATCTTGAGAGGCGCTATATAAAAGATTGTTTTCTTTCTTTCTTTCTTTCTTTCTTTCTTTCTTTCTTTCCTTCCTTTCTTCCTTTCTTTCTTCCTTCCTTCCTTCCTTCCTTCCTTCCTTCCTTCCTTCCTTCCCTCCCTCCCTCCCTCCCTCCCTCCCTCCCTCCCACCACCCTCTTTGGCCAGAATACAGCATTTGCAACTTAAGAGTGCCAATCTCGTTCAGGTTCAACTTTATTTATATAGCGCCTTCACATGGCCAAGGGCCAAACTAAGTGCTGTATGCCATCTTAAAGGCAACCATTTAAACATAAACACACAGACTGAAACAAACAGCTTTTAAACCCAATTAAAAACAATCAACAATCTAGCTCAGCTCTCCTAATAAATGATCCGGTCTGTTGGACTAGAAAAAAAGTGGAGCTGACATAGCTGGCGCTGCAGTCTGCTTCCAGCACATTTCCTGCATGTTTTAGATCATGAACACAGCTGATATTTTCAGTTTAGTGATGAATCACTCTTTTAGACACTAACGAAGGCTGAGACATTTCAGCTGTTAGATTAAGGTGGTAAAACGATAAACACACAGCGAGGAGATACTTTTATTTTTTTGGTTCTACTAAATGGACACTAGGGGTGCTACAATTTCCTAGTCTCCCTCTAATGATCAAAACCATGCATATCTAAAAAGACAGCCAGCACTTGTATAATGTTAATAATAATTAATGTGTTAAATTTATTTTATGGCCAAGGTGACACCATCAGATGATATCTCTAAACACTAAAATAACAACACCAACCAAAACACTCAAATAACTTCAGTAAACCAAAGGTTGAGGTTATATTAAAAGCCTCGACCAGGTTTACAGAAACATTGTTAGATTGGAGATTCATGCAGTCATTCCAAAACACTAACATTTTTATTAAGTCTTCATTTTTTTGTAATTTAATTGTTTTCTTTATTTTTAACTATTAGCCTCATGAGTGCTATTGATTTCTGCCTCATCCTGTTGTTCTAATCCATCATTAAAGTGACAATGTTTAGTTTTTACCATTAATCTCTGGAAACATACGAATTTTGTTGAAAATGAATTCAATTATTCCCATTTGTTGAAAAATATTGGCGGTTTCGTAACATATAACCGTAAAAATCAGGTCTAAAACACATGGGAGCGGGTTAGTCTCTGGGTGATGCCATGTTAGACGCCATGTTTCCTTCTACAGGAGCCTGTGAGGACAAAATGCATTTACTGATTAGATAACGGTTACATAACTTTGACCATTCATAAATGTTGTTTGACACATTTACATCTTCACTCGTTGCCAGTGATGAAAGGGAGTCTGATATGCTTGACATTTGGCTAGAGGTTGAGCTCCCAGGGATTTTTGACCCTAATTGCCATCCGTTGGTAAGGTCTTGCTCCAACACAAAAATACTGCTTGCTTGCTTGCAGTGATTTATGTATGTACTGCCCCGTCACCAGATAAAATACACATCGTCACTTTAAAGAAATCATAAGCTTCTTTTATGATATCCTAATAATAATATTACATTGGTCAAAAAATATGAATTAAAAATAATGTTTTCTCCAAAATCATAAATGTTTGAAGCAGTTTTGATTTTGAGATATAAAAACATAATTATTTTCTGGAATTGCAGGTTTCTTGCTAAACCTCTATCCTGTTGTGTATGTCTTTATTCTTACCGTCTCTGTTAATCACAATGCCTCCTTCAGTCGACTCAGCGCCACAGAGCAGCTGCTGTGCTCCTTTGGCAGAACGCCAGCAATCGAGAGATATCTCTTTCTCCTCGTCCACATCCTCTCCGTGGGATTCACCTGAAAACCCACTCCAACCTCTCAAGCCTGCCATGGCGAGAGCCCAGAGCGCCCCCATCACCCAGCCTACCGAGCCAGTTGACCCCGTCCAAAGCATGGCTGCTGCCGGCCCTCCGAAGAGCGAGGAGGGCGTCTCCTGGTCACAGAGCCAGTGGATTGCTTTTGGTGATAACTTTGCCCCGCCTTGCCGTCGTGGCTCGGGTTCATCCGTGTTGGAGCTCCAGAGGGTTCAGGCAGGCATCAGCAGGTCAAGCCGCTTCCTGTCAGAAGACTCTGCAGACGTCTACAGCAGAGCGACGAGGTGCAGCGAGGACAGCAGCCTCAGTTTCACCGATGTCTTCGCTGATAAGGCTACAGCTCCATCCAACAAAATGTTCACTGGTAACAATGATCCTGGCTCTCAAGACGCGTGTTATGCTCGAGGGTGTGAGTTCTGTTTACTTGCGTTTGTATGCTTTAATGCTTGAGGTTTTTAATTGTATGATTATTGCTTTCATATAGTTTTATTTTACTAATGCTTGTCTATTTTATTTGTCTTTTTGTTTATATTTCTTTGCGTGGCTTTAAGAGTATCATTTGGAACGTGCTTTACTTTTGCCTCTGTTTTTCTGTTGATGTGTTGAAATGATGCATGACAATTCTGCGTCCAACTGAACAATTCATAAAATACGCTTTTTTATAACTAATTTCCATGGTATTTCACTATTGGTAACCAGCAGGGCCCAACTGTGTTTCTCTGTCTAGTGCCATTACCGAACAGACCCACGACCCCCCTGGCAGCTGGAGCCCTTGTTCCTCCACCACGACCCTCCTCCAGGCCCAAAGTTCCCACCGGAAAACTCACAGGGATCAATGAAATTGTGAGTGAAGTGAAAATGGCTGTTGTTTCAACGTCTGGGAATCAGCAGCAGACGTCTCAGATAGTAGAAGCTAAATATTAGCATTAGCAATTCTACCACACGGCAGAAGCTCCTCCAGGCTTGTGTCTGGAAGAAGACGCTAATACATCCTTAAAGGACTTAAGTACTTCTATCTGCTCTTAAAGAGCCCAAGTCAGAAGTTGATGCCAAAGCTGTTTAAAATGAGCCGTCGTCATCTTTATTTTGCTCTGACACAGTAAAATCCCGCCCACCAAAGTGATAGAGGGCTATGATTGGCCAGCCACAAAACTGGCTGGGCCTGCTGAGGCTCTAATGGAGCGTGGCTAGACCGACCTGCAGAGCAAAATCATTCTGCTCTGCAGGTCGGTCTAGATTTCTAGGCTACTTTAAAAGTACAATAAATAAGAATTTCACACTGAAATAACACAAAACACAGTCATGCCTGATCTTAACATTGAACTGATGTCTATTTGAATACACACTAATATTTTTATTCCCGGACTCAGGTACGACCATTCAGCCCACAGAAAGCAACTAACGCCAGCCCTCCTCCAACTGCACCACTCGCCCGGGCTGAGAGTTCCTCCTCTTTGTCTTCAAATGCGTCACTCAGCGCCGGCAACACTCCCACCGTTGGTAGGAGCTCTTCCTGGTTGTAAAACCCCTTTTTCATAAATAAGTGTATCCTATTTTTCCCTCAATCCCCACATACCTCTGTTTCTGCACCTACTTCCTTCTTTCCTTCACTCCTCTCTACGCAGGACCTGAACACACTTTTGCTTCCCACTTTTGCTTCCTAGAGCCAGAGCTCTTCACCTTCCAACCTCCTTTCCTTCTAGGCCCGAGTGAGTCTCACACTTTGAACATGTTTCTTTGAGAGACTCCTTCCACTTCCACAGTGATGCCTTAATCTTTATGAATGCGTTTTAAGGTTTATCGAGTTTTTGTCACTTGTTCTCAGCACACTCTTAATACAAAACTGTCTGTGAAAAACAAACTATTAAAGAAATAGAAAACAATCCAACCAAGACTTGTAGATCAAGCATGTCCAAAGTGGGGTCAGGGGGCCGATTGTGGGCCATGAAGTGATTTTGTGCGGCCTACACAAGCATTTCTAGAATCATGAAATGTCTTTCTTCAATGGGTTATTGGTGTCGATAAACACTTTTTATCTTAAGATTTATACTAATATGACTACTTTGGATCAAATTTGAGCATTGCAAAACAAAAGATAAATAAATCACTATATAATAATTTTTGCGTTTCTTGAATGAAAAGTTTGAGCATCCCTGTTCTAGATCAGGGGTGCCCAAAGGTGGGACCCACTTATCTCCAGAAGTAGAGTGATTGAAATTTTGAAAATTGATGATTTTTAAAGCACGTAAAGTCCAATAAAGAAAGAAGACGTGATGCTTCAAAACATTTCAGCTCAAAACAAGAATGTCTGCCTTCTTTAATAAAAAAAACAACCAACAATAAGCCACTCTATAATATATTTTTATAAATCCGTTGTTCATCTGTCTGTGATTGTAGGCCCTGTCCACACATAGCCGGGGATCTCCCAAAACGTAGATATTTTTCTACGTTTTGGCCTGTCATCCACATGAAAGCAGAGTTTTTTCACACGAAAACGGATCTTTTTAAAAACTCCGGCCAAAGTGAAGATCTGCGTTTTCTCCGTTTTGGGTGTCTGCGTGTCGACAGACATAACCGGAGTTTTAAGGTCCACAACGTCACTTTCCGCGACAAAAAAAATGCTGACATCACGTGTGCGACCTGTGTTTACACTAGCCGACAGCATGGATGCCCTCAGAGCTGCGCTCGCTTTATCAATTGTCCAAGCGCTTTCTGCTTGTTTGTTTTTGCAAGCGGAATTACTGCTCCTTGCGGAAGACCACAGACGAAGGACGAGGTTAAGAACGGGGGAAGTACTGCCACCTACAGGTCTGGCATGTCCTTAACAACGTATTTATCTGGGTACGTGTGGACAGAGTTTTGTTTTAAAACGCGGTGGTGTGGATGCAAGTTTTTGGAGGGGCGGATATTCGTTTTTAAACAAACCCGGCTACGTGTGGACTAGGCCGTAGTCTCTTTGGGGCTCACTTGTCGTCACACGCTTAAAACCGGTTTCCAGTGCTGCCCAGCATCATCTCTCCTCTCACTGTGCTCTCTGGGTTTGTGTCTTCCTCTTTCCTGGTTGTGCCTTTAATGTGGTGTAAAGAGGATGACGTGTTCATAGCGAAGCTGCCCACCTTTGAGAAGCTGTGTGAAACACCAGCAGGTATGAAGTTCACCCTAAAGGAGCCAAATGAAGAAAACCAACAGCAGTAACGGAGACGTTACTTTGCAGCTTCCTGTTGTGTCTGCTCTTCTGCATATGCTGCCTGTTTCTCTGCTTCTACTCCTAACATGAATGATTTGTTTATTTATGCTTTTAGTGTTGGTATAAAGGTTGCTCTAAATGTCAAAATTTGGTTTAATTTGATTAAAACTTCTGTTTTAAATAACAATGTGCTTGTTTGCAGTGTTAAAAATGCTGACCTGATGAAATGCAATAATGATTAAACCCAGTCTCTGAATAGTTTAAACTCTCTCTGGTTTTGCTCATTTTGAGCTGCAGCCGAGTCCACAGACCCTTCACGTTGTGCCTTTTTCTTTCTCAGGAACGTCTCGCGGTCCCAGCCCTGTGACCTTGGCATCCCAGGATGCTTTGCCCATTGCCGTTGCCTTCACAGAGTCGGTTAATGCATACTTCAAAGGAGCCGATCCCACTAAGTGAGTCTCACATGACCTCCTGCTGCTCAAATACCTCAACACGGACTTGCACGTTGTCTTTATAGCTGAACCACATTATCTGAGCTCTGCAGTTCAAAGTTGAATACCGCTCGTTTTCTAGCCCGTTGCGCCCTACAGCTGTCATCTTCCTCTCTCTGCTCAAATGTGGAATGTTTTGCTGGAGTATGACACCATTCTTTCAGGATAGATAACCCACACGAGGCAGATTATAGTCCGAGGCAGAGAAAAACACAGTCTTTTATTGGTTAACTGCTGTTAAATTGCTGCTGCGCAAAGGCTTATTTTTCCAAGGGATTAGCAAATGGAACATTTCATAAGCAATGCAGCAGAGACACGGCGCAAAGTTGAGACCCACTGTGGTCCTCCACCACCACCACAGACGAGAGCAGGCCCACTACTGATGACGGACTACTTTCAGCCACCAAATTACTTAGAAACTGGATCTACGTTGCACAACTAAAGCAGAATATTACAAGCTAGACTCTAAGGTTAACTTAAAGACTAGGATACAGCTGAAGTTGGGAGTTTTCTGTGTTAAACTAGATATAGTGTGTTTGTTATAGAGAATTGTTGTGTTGGGATCTATAGAAGCAGTAAAAAGTGGGGCTGGGCAATAAATAAAAAAAAATGAATGTTTATTGAAATTTCTGGCTCTTACCGATATCGTTTTTCCCATGTCAGTAAATTCAGTAATAAAAAAATGAAAATATGTGTGCAGGTTGGCGACATTCATGTCCCTTTATGAAGCTGTACCACCTCTAGTCACGGAAAAACATCACTCAACATAATACACGTGACAGCTCCATCTTTTATTTCTGCACGTACGTGTAGTTATCGTCCAGTTATCGATATCGAGGTGAAGTCCTCAATATATTGTGATATTGGTTTTAAGCCAACACACAGGCAGAGAGTCTTGGGCCTAACAAAAAGCCAACCCCAGCCCTCCGCCTCTCACCCGGAGCAACTCCAGCAAAGGAGATTGTCACACCCCTCTCAAGGACTTGGGTTCCAGAGCCAATGCTATGTGTCGAGGTGAGTCCGACTATATCTAGCCGGTACTGCTCAACCTCTGCCACAAGCTCCTGCTCCTTCCCCGCCAGCGACGTTCCATGTCCCAAAAGCCAGTTTCCTTGTCCGGGGATCGGACCGCCAAGGCTCCCGCCTTGGTCTGCCACCCGATCCACATTGCACCGGACCCTTCATGTTCCTCCTGCGGGTGGTGGGTCCACAGTTGGATGAGCCCATGTATCCGGTTCGGGCTGGGCCCAGCCGGGCCCCATGGGTCAAAGCCCGGCCACCAGGCGCTCGCTCACGGGCCCCAACCCCAGGCCTGGCTCCAGGGTGGGACCCCTGTAACCATCCGGGCCGGGTACTCTGACTCTTTGACTTTACCTCCATGACAGATCCTGTGAACCGTTCTTTACATCACACCTAAAGCAGTGATTGTAAGAAATTTTACATCACATGTTGTCTTTTGCTTCTTCAGTTTTTTCATCACGTTTTTTTTATTAACCTGCAGCTTTATGGCAGATAATAAAAGTAAATGAACTCTGATCCGACGCACTCCACAGGTGCATTGTGAAGATCACAGGAGACATGACGTTGTCGTTCCCTATGGGCATCATCAAGGTGTTCACCACCAACCCGTCTCCAGCCACCCTGACCTTCAAACTGAAGAACACCAGCAGGCTGGAGCAGATCTTACCCAACCAGCAGCTTTTATTCAGGTGAGGAGACAGGAGCTGTGGTTCAGTGGAAGAATGATTTGGACTCAGACGTGAGAGCAAAAATCCAGAAAATGTAGTCTGCTCCAGCAACAGGAAATTCAATTAGCAATCCGACATTAAGCTATCATTAAGCTGTCGGAGAAGTATTTTCCTCCAGACGTCCACAGACAGGTTCTCTTCCAAAAGACCCCCTGAAACACTTCATTTAACATCTGCTTCATTCAGCACTTTGTCCTTTAAACAATTTTCTCTGTTTCTCACCTCATTAGTTCAAGCAGTGGTACTGCAGACCACCATCTCCTGTTCTTTCAGTACGGAAATGAGAGTGTTGGATTTGTTTTAAATTAGATTTTTCTCCAAAAGAAAAAAAAACTTTTTAATTTTTATTTTATTTTATGATTTTCACTCCGGTTCCTTTCTGTTATCCCGACACCGCATAGCTGAGCTAATCGAATCAGCCCAATGATTTAGTAGCTGGTTAAATTTAACAGGGTCATTTTTTCCAAGCTATTGGAGCTTTACACACAAAGCCAAGAAGAGCGATGAATAATGAGTCCGTGATTATTCTGTGTGTGTGTATTGTGTCTAGTGATTCATCCCAAAGCGACTCAAACTCCAAGGACTTCTGGTTCAACATGCAAGCTCTGACGTCCTACCTCAGAAAAGCCTCTGAACAGAATCCTTCAGCTTCCTACTATAACGTAGACATCCTCAAATACCAGGTATGCATCCAAATGAAGCTGTTTAATGGGAGCGCTGTAATGGCTGCATGCCCACAGTAAAACCGTTTCTTTGGAATGATGTACTGAAACCACATTTCATTGTATCAGGACGCTGGTTCAGTAGCAAATGAAGCTATCCTACCTTATTTAGAGGAATATTTAGCTAAGGCACATCTCCTGACCCCTCAGTGTGAGGCTGGATGAGAAACTGTGTTAAAGGCACACTATGCAACTTTTTAAAAACTCTTTACAGGGTTAATAAAAGGTCACTCAGACCCCTCTGCCCTCTGTTGCCAGAATATTACGCTTGCAAATTCAGAGTGGTGGCCTGCCAACTGTGGAAAACAATGTTTGCTGACATCCCTGGTGCTGCAGTCTGCTTCCAGCACGTTTCCTGCATCCTTTAGATCATGAGCACAGCTGATTTGCTTAATTTAGTGATGAATCACTCCTGTAGACACTAATGAAGGCTGGGGAGATGTTTCAGCTGTTAGGTTAACGCTCAGCGAGGAGATAACAGGGTATCCGCGGGTCCTTAAAAAGTCTTAAATTAGCTTTTCCTAATTTAAGGCCTTAAAAGTCCTTAAAAATGACAAATAATCCTTAAATCCAGTTTCCAAAGGTCTTAAATGACCAAAGACCCAATAAACAAGATTCTTTTATTTCTATAAAAATTTCGTGAATTTCTGGTTAGTGTTCAGCATTTTTTGTGTATGATGTTGACGTAAGCGGAACTGTACGCAGTCAGTTGGTTGTGAAAGGGGGCTATTTTTAGATGAGCACATTAGCTGGTTAAGCTAGTGGGAGCTTGCGCCATGGGGAAGGGCAAGTTTAATGGTAACTGGATGGCTAATCCCACGTTCGCGACGTGGTTAGCACCGGTTCCAGGCAAAAGCTGGAAATTATCGCTTAAATTTAATTTTTAAAATAGCTTAAATTTGGTCAAAGTGGCCTTAAAAAAGGTCTTAAAAGTCTTAAATTTGGGTCCCTTAAATCTGCAGATACCCTGGATAAGGTTTCTTTTGGTTCTACTAAATGGAAACAAGGGGGTGCTAAAAGCAAGCCGAAATTTCCAAGTGTGCCTTTAACACAAGGACAGAGGAGTGAAAGTATTAGTGTGTTGTTATATTTTCACACACATCAGTAACATTTGTATTGGAGTCTGTTTGAACCTCCTGCTTCCTGCGTCGACTGTCTTGGTTTGTAATTTTCTCTCAATAATTGAAAATGACAACAATGCAGAAGTTTGTATTTTGACCAAAGGATTTAGATTCTACACAACTACAAGTAAAACAACTACATTCACGCAAGATAAAGGAGGGTTCACTTTACAGATTGGAGGTTGTTTTCTTTTGCGTTTGCAACAGTATTTTTCCTTTAGTTTTCCGTTCTAAGCACCGTTTTCTTGCTGAATGATACTTTTTATGTTTATTCGGTTCATAGGGACAATTTCTACCACTGAAGCCCACACCAAGGTGCTTCCTCTTCTGTAGTGAAGCTTAATGGAGGGCAGAAATTCTATTTTTATTTTGGTTCTAGCTTTTTCTCAAACGAAAATCCTTCCATCACAAGCAGGGGAGTTTTGCAGCTAACAGTAAATATCTGATGGTTTAGGGTCACAAACGTTCACACAGCTTAAAAATCTCTGAGATTCCAGAAAAGTCTAGTTTTTGTGAGTGTTGTATAATTTATCTGGAGTCCAGTGAGAGCTCAGAGTAATTCAAAGTAAGCACTTTAAAGTGTTTAAACAGTAGATAGAAGCAGTTGACAGTGAAACAAGAAAGGAAAAAGAAGTTTCATACCACTCCTGTTAAGTTAAAGTTAAAAGTTAAAGTCCCATTAGTTGTCACACACACACTGATGTGTGTGCAAAATTTGTTCTCCGCATTTGACCCATGCCCTGGGGGAGCGGTGAGCTGCAGACAGCCACGCTTGGGAACCATTTGGTGGTTTAACCCCCCAATCCAACCCCGTAATGCTGAGTGTCAAGCAGGGAGACATTGGGTCCCATTTTTTTCTAAGTCTTTGGTACGACCCGACCAGGAATTGAACCTTGATCTCCCAGTCTCAGGGCGGACACTCTACCACTAGGCCACTGAGCTGGTAGGTAACGTTCAGTTATTCTAGCTGCTACAGTACGAAAATATAAATATCAAACTTATAATTAGAGATCTCGATTGAAACCCACCAAATGTTTTAAATGTATTTGATATGCAGACTTCTACAGAGCAGGGTAACGTGTGTTTTTCCCATCAGCCTGAAAACGCTGCCTCTTCACAGGGCAGGGGTTTAAATCTTGGTTTATGATTCGTCATCCGGTTCGACCACAGAAAGACTCCAGTTGGCACGCGACTTTACAGACAACTACAAACCACCTTATCACCACATTTCACAAGTGGGACGTTAGGATACATCTCAAAGCTGAAAGAGTCTGTAGATCTGCTAAGTCTATGTTACATTTTGACTAGTGACTCGGACCTGCCCATCCTACCTGGAGCCTTGTAGAGTCTCATATGACAGGAAGGGATTTTCAAAGTGTGACCTTTGTTCAGACGTGAGTCCCTTAAAGAGCAAGTTCACTGAGCAACAGTTTTTACTTGTTATTTTTTAAATATGATCGGTCATGCAGGCTGAACGAGACAATAGTCGTCTACCCTTACTTCCTTTATTAGCTTCTGACAGAAAATAGACAGGGAAGTGCTCTGATTACACTGAAACATTAACATTCATGGAGTCACCCATCTTGGCTCGCAGCAGGGAAGGCTGTTGTTGTTTAGAGTCCAGGAAACGGCAGACAATGTCACAGCTAGTAGAAGGTAACCGTTAGCATTAGCAACTCTACAACATGGCTGAGCTCCTTCAGGCTTGTGTTATTAGTGGATATTAAAAAAAGATCAACGTTGCAGAGCAAACGGAGTCAGTGCTTGAGTCGCGTTGCTGTTATCCAATCAGAGGCGAGATGTCCAAATATCAGGAAGTAAATCCTACCGGGTTCTGCACCCCTCACCTCTAGCTTACTTGTAGTTCCTGAAACAGGAGTGCCAGAGCTTGGTCCTGCAGAGACTGACTAACGAGGCGTTCATTTATACTCGAGACAAATGCCAACTGTAAAGTCGCGTGCCAACTGGGCAGCAGTAGCTCAACAGGTTGAGCGGGTTGTCCAGTAATCGGAAGGTTGCAGGTTCGATCCCGGCTCCGGACAGAGAATTCTGCTGTTGTGTCCTTGGGCAAGACACTTAACCCCCCTTGCCTGCTGGTGGTGGTCGGAGGGACCGGTGGCGCCTGTGCTTGGCAGCCTCGCCTCTGTCAGTGCGCCCTAGGGCAGCTGTGGCTACATCGTAGCTCATCACCATCAGTGTGTGAATGGGTGCGTGAATGGATGAATGATACACTGTAGTGTAAAGCGCTTTGGAGTCCTTACTCTGAGAGGCGCTATACAAGTGCGGGTCATTTATCATTTGTCATTCATTCATGTGTTGAAAAAACGAGTGAACTTGGTCTTTAACGCCGCTGCCGTGTTCAGGTGCAGTCTGATGGGATCCACTCAACTCCCCTCAACCTGGCTGTTTACTGGAAGTGTTTATCAAGTACCACAGAGCTGCGGGTGGACTACAGCTACAACCCCGAGTCCATGGCCTCACCCGGCCCACTCTCCAACGTGCAGGTGCTAGTGCACGTCGACGGAGGAGTCACCAACATGCACTCTCTGCCTAACTCCATATGGTAAGAGACGTTGCAGCAACAGCAGAATTAGTCACCCACTTTTAGCTCACAGTGTTATTTTATCATCTCGTTTTAGGAATTTGGAGCAGAATAAGTGTCTCTGGAAACTGAGCGACATCTCGGAAAAATCTGAAAATGAAGGTGAGGATTTATTTATTTTAAAATGTTTATAAAAGTCTCTTTTCATTGGAGGTTTTCGTGAAGCGAAGAATCCAGCCTAACTGTGTTTTGACTCCAGGTGCTGGCTCGCTGAGGGCCAAGTTCGACGTCTCAGACGGCCCGTCGAGCCCGTCCACGCTGGCGGTGCAGTTCATGAATGATGGCAGCACCTTGTCGGGAGTGGACATGGAGCTGCAGGGATCCGGATACAGACTTTCTCTCAACAAGAAGCGATTTGCTACAGGTATCTTAACAGTCCGTACGTCGTCTCTGCAGATGTGTTTTCGTCATCCGCAGCTCTAATTGCTAAACTCTCTGGTGTCTCCAGGACGCTACATGGCAGACTGCTGAGGTGATCCACCCCCATTATTTCCCATCAAAGAAAAAATCCCGCTCGGCACAAAGCTTTGGAAACGCCGCGAAGCCTCCGGGATCCATCGGAGCCACCGTCTGCCTCGGTTTGACCCAGGGAGTAGCACGGCTCTCACTACAGTAACACAGCACTGAGTTCTGAACACTGTTAAAAAATAAAACTAAGATGAGCTTTCAGAGAAAAAAATAAGTGTAGATATGAAGTCTTATGATGCTTTCTGATCAATTCATCGTTGTACAGTCAGAGATTATTGATTAGCCATAAATTTATATTGTATTTGAAATCATAAAAAAGAAGAAAAAAATGCACTAACACCTTTCAGAAGCTCTTTTTCTCTCGTGTTTATGTCTAACAGCCTAAGCAGAATACAAAGCCGTCTCTGGGTGGACAAAAAGAAAATCTATCTACTTTCTTTCCTCTAAACTGTAAAAGGATGTCAGAATCTTCTGTTTAATCGGCTCCGACTCAACTCGTGAATCAGCCTCCTTTATGGTTGTTTGTCTTTTTGTGATCTGGGAAGCAATGAAAGTAGAATCCGTCTTTAACGCTGCTCTCACACTCACGGCACAAGCTCCATCTTGTTAAAGCGCTCGTAAAAATACAAAAAAGCTGACCTGAGTGCCTCCTCTTGTAACTGTGGAACAAACTCCAAAAGGAAAGTTTAGAAATGCAGAAACCGTGCTTTCAGACTGGAGTCCTCTCACCCATCACCTCTAGTGGGGCTCACAGTGCTTTCATAGGTTACTTCTACCGTTCTGACTTTTTAACCAAAACTTTGAATGTAAAACATTTTGTCAAAAATACTGCAAGAAGAAGAAATGGAGGCATCACGACAAGATCACTTGTATTTCCGTGCGATGTTGATGAGAAACGTGCCTAAATTTGATCTTTTCTCTGTTTTTTAAAACTTGTATCCAGCTGCACAGTTAACAGGACGAGCACCTACCGTTGTCCGATTTTACTCCCATTTAGACGTTAAAGGGAAAATGTCTGTCTTCCAGAAACAAATGAGTCTTCTTTGCATTTATTTTTATTTTTTGACCGAGTTCCTTGTTTTTTTATTTTGTTTGATGTCTGTCATTTTCCTGCTGTCACCATGTTTCAGGCGGTGTTACAGTTTCACCGTAAGGCCAAATTACTGATTCAAATGCCTTATTGTGGCTCCTCAGCACTGAGTAATCCAGTGTTGACTTTGGAGGGCTTTTACTCACCTGTCCTGCCTCTCACCCAGTGCATTCTGGGACAGCCTTCACACTTTCAGCAACAAAAAAGCAGCTAAAGTAGCCATGTTTGACTCTTGGTGCTTTGATATTCTCGTTTCTAATCAAGGGCTCCTGATTCAGAGGCTGTTTTTTTTTTACTATTGTGGGAAATTTTTATTCCATTGATTAAATTCATGTGATCGTCTTGAATTTGGTTGATTAGTAAAGTTTTTGTACGTTCTGGCCTAATAATGTCCCAGATTAAAAAGGTTTGTGTTCATTAGGCCAATTTTATGTCCTCGTAGCTAAATAACAAAATATCAGGACATTTTAGTTCTAACTGATTTATGTGTAATTTAAATTTTGCCAGCTGTCTAAATTTTAAGCTAGAAGAAATATGTTTTTAATATTTGATGTGATTCCCTTTTATAAAAAAACCTTTATATTATTTTATCAGCAAACACCTAAAGTCCTAAAAGGAAACAGTCTTTGATTTTATTAATTGTATTTCTGTTTTTCTGAAATTTTTAAGATAGTTGATAAAGTTTTTTCAAGAAATTCAGAATTTGTAGTTTGTGTGCATTAAAACATCAGCTAACCTGTAGCTTTTTATTTTCTGTAAATTATTTGTTTGTTTTTTTCCATCAAACAAAGCATCAGATGTGTAGAAATGAGGACACAGGTCCTGTGACTGTATTCCATTGTAGCAAGCTGGTTCTTGCTGTGCCTAAAAAAAAACAACTTTCGAAACTATTTTTTAAAAGGGTTCCTGCAGCCATCCTCCCCTTTCTACCTTTTCTATCCCGGGTTTAAACAGTGTAACATTCTGTAAATGATTCTCACATTTTTACCAATATTTCTGCCATTTCTGTCTATTTTATGATTTCTAATTGTGTCTGTATTAAATATGTAATATATGAATATATACAAATATATGAACAACAACTTAAAGTGTGATCCCTGACATTTCTTTAAGTTATATTGTGAAGATGGGGAGATTTTGTGTGAAGTTTAGTGTTTGCCTTGCTGCTGAATACACCCAAGATGAGAGAGGTCACTCAGGTTCTCCCTCCAGGTGAGGGGTGAGTTTTCCGAGACCCTGGTAGAAGTGGCTGACTTGAGCTTCCTCTGAAGGATACCTGGGCTCAGGAGGATGAGGACAGGCCTCTTCCAGGGGGAGCTTGAAGTAGAACCACTGTTCCATCTCAAGGAAAAGGGTTCAGCTGATGTAGTTCTAGCATCTGACTAGGATGACTCCTGGTCTTCTTCTGGAGAGTTTCCAGGCATATCCTACTGGGAGGAGATACCTGAGAGACCTAGAACTCATCAGACACATATCCTCTCAGGCCTGGGAGTGCTTTGGGTTCCTCCAGGAGGAGCTGGGGTAAGTGATGACTGGGCGTCTAATCTGGATCTGTTACTTTGTGGGGCTGAAAAATAAAATGAAAAATGCATTTTTAGATTCACAGTACTTGGTATAAAAACACTTTTATACAGTCTTTTGATACGTGAGCTGATTTGAAGGTAGGGTAGTATATATATAGATTATACAGATAACAGATGTATAGATTATCCTGAAAAAGCCGTTCAAGGCAAGTTTCGTTTTGAAAAAACAACTCCACGGTCTGACCCCTTTTCTACAGGCTCCCCCTTGAGCCTCCAGAATACAGGAGAACGCAGGATACAACAGATACCATCAAACAGTCAAAACTAAATTATGTCTTACCTTTTTTACTCGTTGTTAGAACCATATTTGCCATAATATTAAACGTATATAACAGCTATGGAGCCTCCAGGCTTCTGACGGACTCCTCATAGCCAGGAGGAGTTCTCTGGACTCTGTCCCCGCTGAAAGATCAAGAAAGAGAAACCACTGGGACCTACATCAGAGATCCAGGGGGAAGAACTGGGTTCATTACACTGGAAACCCCCTCAGCTACTTCTGATCAGGCTACATAACCATCTAACTAGTACGCTAGCTAATATAGCTAGCCTAACTCTGGTAGGGATGGTCAGAGGGCAGTTTAATGGATCAGGAGGCTCCTAAGCAATCTGACCTACTTATTGTAAATATTGACTTGCCTAATAGTCACCTGTTAGTGGCTGGCTGTTATCCGCTTTCCGCTCCAGCTGACACTGAGCAGTACCTGGTGCACTTTGCTAAATAAAGCTGAACTCATCATACATGGGGAGAAAAAAGTTTCAATCATCTTTATTTATATAGCACTTAATCCTGCAATACATGCAACTCAAAGTATTAACAAATTAAAAAGGCCCCACATACCCACATTCCCTCCCCGACACACACACACACACACACACACACACACATACATACATGCCCCCTTCCCCATGGTAAAAAAACAAACAAAAACACGATGGGCTGAGATCAGATGAGCCAGACCAGCTGAGAGAAGGATAAGGAAATGCCATCAGGGGAACCATCCGCCCCGGCAGCAGCAGATCCACAGCAGCAGCCGAGGCACCGACACAGGGCGCCCAGGGCAGGGAGGCCAGAGACCCCCCACCTCCACCCAGGCCGCCACAGCTGACCACCGCCGCTGGGGCAGAGGGCACCCACAGAGGAAGCACTGGAAAAAGGTTAAATTAAGGTTAAAATATAAGAGCTAAAATGAGAATTGTAATACAAAAAGTTATATAGATATTAAAATAGCGTTGATCATAAATCATGGTAAAAAACTGTTTAAAAAGCATGTATAAATAAAGAATACATTAAATAAATAGATAAAATAAATAAATAAACTAAGTAATTAATTTAAAAAGTGAGAGTATTCAGTTAAAAGCTAAGCTAAAAAGATGGGTCTTGAGCCTGTTTCTAAAAACAAGAACGTTCTCGGCAGTCCTGAGGTCCCCTGGCAGCTCGTTCCAAAGGCGAGGACCGTAGTACTGGAAGGACGCCTCGCCGTGAATATGTGTCCTGACTTTAGGGATGACAAGGAGACGGCTGCCGGAGGAGCGCAGAGACCGCGTGGGTTCATCCGGTAAAAGCAGTTCTGAAAGATAAGAAGGCCCAAGACCATTAAGACACTTAAAAACCGTTAAAAGTATTTTGAAATTGATCCTGAAACATACGGGGAGCCAATGCAATGATTCTAAAACTGGAGTAATGTGCTCCTGCCTCCTGGTCTTCGTCAGGACACGTGCTGCTGAGTTTTGTAATAGTTGTAAACCTGAAATCCTCTTTTTAGGAAGACCAGAAAGCAGGGCATTGCAGTAGTCTCTACTGGTAATAAAAGCATGCATCAGCGTCTCCGTATTGGCCCGAGAGAGAATGGGGCGGACTCTGGCGATGTTCTTTAGATGATAAAAACCTGTTTTGGTGATATTTTTAATATGATGGATAAAAGTCAGCTCAGAGTCAAAGATGACACCCAGGTTCTTCGCTTGTGAAGAACGATTAAGAGACAGTGATTGTAATTTTGGTAAAAGCTTCACTCTCTGGGCCTCAGGACCGATAACTAAAACATTTGTCTTGGTTGAGCTGGAGAAAGTTTTCTGCCATTCAGGATTTGATGTCAAAAATGCAATTAAAAAGTGTGTCCACTGACCGTGTGTCATCAGGAGACACAGAGATGTACAGCTGTGTATCATCAGCATAACTGTGGAAATTCACCCCATGTCTCCTGATGACACTGCGAGGGAGCATATAAAGGTTAAAAAGCACTGGGCCTAAAATTGAACCCTGGGGCACACCACATGTAATCCCATGAACCCTCAAGGAACAGGTATCCAAACTCACCGTAAAAGTCTTGTCTGTGATGTAGGATGTGAACCATCTATGTACAGCACCAGAGAGGCCGATCCGTTTCAAATGAGTTAAAAGACTAGTGTGGTTTACTGTATCATACTGTATCAAAGGCAGCACTTAGATCCAGTAGAACCAACACATTCACCTTCCGTTTATCATAATTTACTCTTAAAATCATTTCAGAATCTTCAGAGGGGCTGTCTCGGTGCTGTGGTTCACCCTAAAACCAGACTGAAAAATTTCAAAGACATTATGGGTGTTGATAAAATCATTAAGTTGGATAAAAACAAGCTTTTCTAAAATTTTGCTTAAAAATGGTAAGTTGGATACCGGTCGATAATTGTTTAAGTCATTAAATTTTAAATTTCTCTTCTTCAACAGGGGCCTCACCACCGCCCGTTTAAAAGTGGCAGGAAAGACCCCCGTCTGAAGGGAGCAATTCATCATAGTTAAAACCTCATCTCTAAAAGAATCATAAAATTGTTTAAAACATCTAGTGGGAATAGGGTCCAAGACACATGTGGTGGGTCTCACTGAGGAGAAAACTTTATCAAGAATCTCAGCTTCAACAGAGTAAAACTGTCCAGTGTTTCCTCAGGTAGACTCTCAGATGTGTCTAAAACCACGTTACGTTGAGAGGATAAAATGTTACATCTGATGGTGTCTACCTTCCCTCTGAAGTGGGCTGCAAACTCCTCACAAAGAGTGTTTGAGGGGGTTTTCTGAGTTGAGTTTTGGTTGGAGTTGAGAATATTATTGATTGTGGAGCAAATAATTTTAGGGTTATTTTTATTGTCTGAGAGGATTTAGCAAAAATATGCATTTCTTGAATTTCTCATGGCATTAAATGTTTTAAGCAAGCCCCCACAATGCGGGTGAAAAATTGAAGCAAACAAAAAGTGAAATAAATTGCAGTTCCACCCTCATCCACTAGGGGCTGGTGTCATAAGCGAGCAAATCCTCATTGACTCCCATGTTAAAAATACCAATTTCACAGCAGAAATAAACATGTTTACAGCCTGGTTCCAAAACATGTTTTTGGTTTAAATGATCTAGTTTACACTCGTGACAACTCTGAGGGGGGGTGGGGGGTGGGTGAATTTTTTTTCTGACTCTTCTGTTTAAGTGTATTCAAAGTCTAAAATTCTGTATAATTAATGAGCATCAGACCCACGTGACCACATAGCTAGCTCTGTGGAAAGGCCTCAGTAGAGCCTCGGTCTTGCCTGAAAACTGTTCGGTCATTTTCAGTCTCTCAACTTAGACCATTTGTTGTAGCGTTTGTGTATTCTTTTTTGGATATTATTTGTGCAATTGTTGGACAAAATGACTTGCTGTGGCATTAATTGCACTAATAGAGCATCCAAGGAGTCTCCACTTCATTTTTTTCGGTAAGTAAAATTATATTTATGTATTTTAGGTCACTGCCGAGCTGAGCTTAGATTTTAACATGTACTGTTTAACCATGAAATTTAAATGTAATAGGGTAAAACCCAGTGCATTTAACATAATGCTGCACTTTAGAAAATGGGTTGAAAAATAACATGTTGGTGGAGCTGGGTTCCGACTATCGGCTTGTGGAGCTCTCGGGAGACCGATGTTTTCCACCCGGTTCTCCCCTCCCCGCAGCTCGGCGCATCTCTGTCTGATCGCGGCTCCTGACTGCTGCGCGGGCTGCCGGCTTGTGGAGCTCTGGGATGGAAACCTTTCCACCCGGTTCTCCCCAGCGGCAGCTCTGCGCATCTCAGATCGCAGGGGCGCTTGTCTGCTGTGCGGCTGCCGGTGTCGGTACAGGATCTGCTCGGGTGCAAAATCGGCTCGGGGTCCTTCGACTGCCGATGACGTCAAAGTACGGCAAACCCACTCGGACAAAATACACTACACATCTATACTGCTGGAAAGAATTTAGCAGTTTCGTTATTAAAATAATGTTTCTTAAGACGTAAGTTTGTGTTTATAATGGTATTTGTAAAATAAAACACTATATTTTTTTCATAATGTTGAACTCCTCTTTGAGCACATCCCTTGAAGGATCATTGGTATTAGCAACACCTGTGAAATTGTATTTGCAGGAAAGAAGTGTGTCCCGTTTATTGAAGAAGTGTTTAGTTTTTGACGTCTTGTCCATGCGTAGTTCAGTTACGCTCATAGCTGCTAGCTAAAACTCTGGAGTTAAAAGTTT